TTTTGTTGAAAGACAGGCTCTGTAGTAAGCAATGTTCTGATGTCATTAACTCATTTTACATCTAAAGTGGATTTAGCTCCTTTTGAAATTAAACTCTTTATTTATAGAGAACTTCCTGTCATACGAGATATCGCCTACATTGTGAAAGCAAAGTGTATTTCATAATGCAGTGGTATGACCAGAACTCATCTTTGTATATAACGTAAAGGTCCAAACATTGACCCCGCCATGACTCGCATGTTGTACATATGTTACAGGAAAGCAGATGCAGGGAAGTAGCTTTTAATTAATTGATAATCATCTCAGAAGTGAACCTAGGACAAAGTGCCAGGATAACGACTCCTAAGCGACAGTCCTTCCTCACGCATACTATACCCCCTTTCATGTTTTAGCGTCATTTCGAATGGGGACGTCCGTTAGACCAAGTTTACCGACAATTTTTAATTCAAAGAGGCAGAGAAAAATAATATTGTAGATAAATGAATAAATAGGTGAGTATATAGATAGACATGTGATTAGATAATCAAATATATGAAAGATAGATGAATAAATAAATATATTACTTATAATGAAATAGAAACGAAAATGATAGAATAGAATAGAATAAAGTAAATTGAAATAAAATAGAATAGAATTAAAATGATATAAAGTAAAATGAATAAAATAACTTGATCCTTCTTTTCCCAGGGACGCCTTCTGTTCTGTTAATATGTTAATTAGTTTTGAACTAGATATTCTTTTACTAAGTAGGCCTACACTACTCACGCTATTACACATGAGACCACTAGTGAAACAAAAGCTCTCACTCTTTCACAGGTAATGATCAGCCGTGAGATGAGCAGAAAGTGAGTCATGGTCGTCCCAAATAAATGTGCCCTGGGATAGATTAGAAGATTTGATGGGAGGACAATCCTTTCGGTCTTTTTATCGACCAAGGATTATAGAGGAACTCCAAGGGAAACATTTATACCCTCAATCTGTTACATGCGCAACAGCTACATATTGTATACCATTAATCTGGTGCATGCGCAACAGCTACATTATACCATCAATCTGTCACTTGCACTACAGCTATCATGATGTATGATGTGGATACGATATGCAGGCCTGTACTTTTGAACTAACTTTCTTTACTAGACGACAGGGAGGGAGAAGGGGATGTCTACCAGTTACCTGGGAATAAATTTCAGTCCTTTTCACCGCAAATTTATCTGCCAATGTCCTCACGTTTTGGGAATTTGATGATTGTTTTCATGATTGTTTTACCTGACTGCTCAGAAAGCACAATGCGTATGTAAGAGAGCAGAATGGCCTGGGACTGTCGTCTTCTTATCCTCTCCGAGGGACTCGGTAATGAGAAAAAGTGCCTTACCAAAGGGCATGAACGCATTGATTCGGTCTCGAACCCAGGACCTCCCGGTTACGAGATCCCTGCTCTACCACTGAGCTATCGCGCCTCCTCCTTTCTCACTAATAACAATGTTTCGAGGAGGTGCGCTCGAATCCCCATGCAGAACCCCAATTACATTCACGAGCCGATATGTATAAAATATAACCTCATACCTAACTCAGTTGATAAAGATCCTCTTGGGTCAGATAACTTCGGGTTTCGGATCATAAAGACGAAAAATTCCAATAAATCAGACAAAAAGTATAACTTTAAATAAGACACAAGAAAATAAAAAACCATGCCAGGCTGTGTGGACATTAGGGAAATACAAATTACTCGGACTGGCTAGAGTTCGATATATGACAGATGGATACATTAAGGATGACAAAGGTTAATCTTATTCGCTGTCAAATTGGGCTTAAGGTCAAAAGTAGTAACACATTGCCAAACGTCTAAATGGAGGCAAATTAGATTGGACAGCATGGTTGACTATCATTTTGAAAGGCAGACTGGTTTTAAGAATGAAAGGAATGCCCAAAACAGTTGGTCAGTTGTTGTTTTGTCCCCGTTGTCGTTGTGATCATTGTTGTTGTTGCTGATGCTTTATCTATTTTTGTTTGAGAAAATTACTGAACCTATAGCTGAGTTGTTGATCATTCCCCCTACCCCCCCCAAAAAAAAAAAAAACAACAACACAACAACAACAACAACAACAACACAGGAATATGCCAATTTAAGTGTTGATGAGTTCAATAACTTTAAAATGACCCATTTTTCGATCAATTTAATCTTTAATAATGTTATGAATTGAGCTAGAAATTTCCAAATCATTTCTTGACATTCGGTTATTGTGACTTTTGAATCACACAAGTTACTTTGTCATGTAAAGTAGGCTACAACGTTAGGGAATATTGTTTTACATGCATTTACCCCAATTATATCGTTTTTTCCAGCGATATAGCCCATATGAAGTGAAATTCTTTCAATATGCAAGTAGGCCTATTTGACTGTTGGCTGTACAGTCATGAGGTAACCTACTTGTAATAAGTGAATCTGCATGTTTAGAACTGTGAATGATATTTCAACCAATCTGCTGTCATCTGGACACGTTCGAGATGTCTGTATATTGATCATTACTGGGACCCGTTTCACAAAGCCTTTTTCAATGACAAATTACAAAAATCAGTGACAAATCTGCTGATAACCAATCAGAAGTAAGGATTTCAGTAGCTTATAACAAATGCTGCTATTTGTCACTGATGACAAGTTTTGTGAAACGGGCCCCAGTTGTTCATCAACAAATCACCGATCCACACACTGAGCTTGTTTAGATATTGGCGCATTGCCTGGTAAGGAGGATGTTGTATTTATTATCCAATCGGGTCGTATCTTTGCTTCGATCCCCGGTGCAGAGGACGAATTCCTTGAGACAAATCATCAAAATCTTGCTTTAAAGAGAATCTTGAGGTCTGGGAAAGGTGGAAAATGATTCGTTAACTTTTTGCATATTTTAAAATGTAAATATGAAGGAACATTGAAAGAAAATGTCCTCTGACAAGGATGGCTTTCCAAATGCCCTCGTATTCGAAAGATGACAAGAAGTTTCCATAGTGTTAAGATTAAACGTTCATGCCACATGATTTTTTTGTGTGTATTTTGTAGTCCCATATATACATTTTTGTGTACAGTACATTTGAATGTCAGCAAGACTGTCCATTTCTTATCATTTTCCTGATTTAGCACCATTACATAGTATACACCAACACGTATGTGCAACATAATTATCGTTCCAATCGCTTTCAGATAGTTTCTTTCACAATACAATCGTGAATTGAGAACTCAACTTTATATAAAGATGGTGTTATTTAGTATTTATTGATATATTTGACTACTGTTTCAAATTGATACCGACACAAGAAGTTTACTCCTCAGGAAATGCATAGGATCAAGGTCATACAGCTTGTGTCTGCCAAGTTCGGAAATGGAATACTTTCCTAAAAACTTTCCAAGAATATTCTCAACTATTTGTATCTTATTTACCTTCGATGAGTGATAATAAGTCTTTTTTTCTTCTTTTAAAATAATACCTTTATTAGGCATTGCTCATAACTTCGATATGCGTAAAATGGATTAACTTTTACATAATATGTTTGTAAATATATACATCTTAGGTGTTAAATAGTATCCAATATAACCCTACACAATACCGGACGAAATGCCATTACAAAACTTGTTTTGTTTGCCTGTAATTGGACGAGATTTGCTTCCGCTAATGCCTTATACATGCCGACAAAAAGTAATAAAACAAATGTACAAACGAAAACACAATAACTGAGATAAGAGACATCAGTTCTTTTATTTCCGGGCAACAGACATCTCGAAGGAGCGCGCCCCACTAATTCACATTTTGTTCTGCAGGACAAATGTATTTTCTGCCTGAATATCTAAAGATGCATTGGTGGAAAATCGCTTGAAGACCCCCTAAAATACAGTTTTTGACACACATACGTTGCCTTTTATTCATCATGGCTTATACATTTCTACTCAGACTTGAAATCGTCGCGTTCTTAATCAAACATTTTTGAGGTTTCCGTCTGGTCGGTTTCTCTTGCTTCAAGTTCGACAAAAGCGTTGCCAAGTTTCGAAGATTCTAGGCTACCCGAAATACGCGTTATCAGTCGATCTCGACGATGATACAGTGATTGGGCCACGTGTGCTTACATACGATCTCCCGGTCGATCTACCGGATGATCTCACAAAGCTTGAGGTATACAAAGGCTCTCTAGATAAGAGAAGGAGCGCTTGTTATATCCGGGTGCCGGTAAGCTTACACCCGGCTTGAGTCAAAGGTTGCATTTACACAGCGGGTCGTGCTTATAATTGTAAAACTTTTCCCTTTGATTTTTTTTGTTTTTTGAAGTTATCTTCACATCTCTTGCACCTTCCAAATACTTTCGCTAAAATCTTTTGCACTAAAACAAGAGTTGGTTAGCATTTTAGGTAAACGGTTTACCAAATTGGGTTCATATTTAACTCAATATTCGGGTTGAACTCCACCCCACAAAAAATGCACAATCTTTCTCTTTTTAACATTTCGGTTGCTTTCATCGCCTCTCCGCACGCCGCTTGTTCGGGACATGTACATTTTTGCACAAACCAAGAAGCAACTATTCACAGAAGAAAATTGCTTTGTGCTACACAATTATGACAATGGCTTTGCAGAATTACTCAGTTGCGGTCCTTATTTGGTTAAAATAACCCTTCTAACACCTGTATAGGTAAATCTCGCACTGGAAACAGTGGAAACAACCAATCTTAAAGTCTCTGGTATATGTTTTCCATGATAAATACAGAGAGGTTGTTTGAGTGGCATACAAAGAGTTAAACCACTCAGATAAAAAAATAATATACCGAACACTTTTTGGAGTGTACTTGTGAGGATTACTTACTTCATTGCTTAAACTATCCAAGAGGCACTGAGCTTAATTCTCACAAACAAAGCAATAGGTAATGTCTCTGTATAATGTTTGTGTTTCCACACATGACGAAAACTATGAAGTAATAATGTATTTGTCTTCATTTTTTCTTCTTTCTTCTTTTGTCTATTCAGTGATGCAGCCAGCACGGCTCCACAAAGCTGTATCTTCGGACAACTCCTTAACATGACCGCGTTAATTGGTGAGTTCCTTTTATTGTTCCTTTCATCATTGATCAATCATCTCTTCATTATGCTGCATGTAGGATCAACCAAGAACATGTGTTCATCTACATGATTCATGTCATGATCACAGTTGGTCGCAGCTTGTGGTTAAGTCACGTAGTTACTAATGCAACGACGACTACTATACTGCTACTAATCTTCCAACACTACTACTAATTACTACTACTACTACTACTACTACTACTACTACTACTACTACTACTACTACTACTACTACCACTACTACTACTACTACTACTACTACTATACTACTACTACTACTACTACTACTACTACTTCTATTACTACTACTACTACTACTAGTACTACTACTACTACTACTTCTACTACTACTGCTACTATTACTACTACTACTACTACTACTACTACTACAAGTAAACCATACACCAGTACTTTATTGGCTCTGTCCATTTGCATCATCTTTTTCTAACGATATCCCCTTTACATAGGGCCTCGCAATAACTAACGCATGCCTACCCCAGGCAATCGACGTCTCGTGTGCAAAGATTATTCAACGCATGCTCTAATATGACATATACTTGGTGCGTCAAAGATTGTGCCTGTCTTTGACGCAGTCATACGTTAGGAAAATGACTTCCCGTGTGCAACACGCTCTGATGTCACCTTTAAATTTACCTTGTGCCTAAAAGACTGTGCTGGTGGTTGACGCACTCATACGTCAGGCAAATGACTTCTCGTGTGCAACACCCTTTGATGTCACCTATAAATATACTTGGTGCCTAAACGACTGTGCAGGTCGTTGACGCACTCATACGTCAGGCACGTGGACGCAGCGAGCGTTTGACACATGCACGCTTTCACGTCACCGATACTTGGTGTGTCAGAGACTGTGCCAGTCGTTGGCGCACTCATACGTCAGGCACGTGGACGCAGCGAGCGTTTGACACATGCACGCTTTCACGTCACCGATACTTGGTGTGTCAGAGACTGTGCCAGTCATTGACGCACTCATACGTCAGGTAATTGACGTCTCGTGTGCAACACCCATTTGGTGCACGCTTCGATACCTGACACTGGTTGATATTAACAGCGACATGCTGCGTGGAATAACGCAAAGGGTGACCGTCTGGATTATCTTTAGCGTAAAATAAACACCGTCATTGAGGCGGAAACTCATGTTTTTCTGAGATACCTGTATCTTGGAAAGAGAGAAGGGATATGTCGTCATAGTAGGTCAATGTCTATATCAGATATCTATATTTACCACTTAGTTTCGTTCTCTTATTTTGCCAGTAATTCTAGACTTAAACTCTAGAGGCCAAGATCTAGGTTTCTCCTGTAAATGAACACACTTCGGTTTCCTTTTAAAGCCCCACTGCACTACGTATAGCTACATGCGCCCTCTATATAGCAAACAATGCCTAATCGGTGACCATTGGTCCCCATGCATGGTCCTCTTTTCTTATGTTAATTGAGAGCTGAGTTGATGGGATGACCACCTGGCAGTGACCATGCAGGGAGGTCTAATCCCTCCTGGTCAAATTAGTGCAGATATGCTTTAATTTACCATTAGATGCAATTGTATACAGGTCCGAAATTCTTTCACAGTAAACCTCTCTTTTCTTTTACTAAGTGGCGGGAGCTGGGATTAATAATTGATAATTATAACAAGATGCTGTCATTTCATACTCAAAGGTGTAACATACTATGTTGTAGCTTCAGGGAGGCGGGGGGGGGGGGGCACCGCTCCACCCAATTTAAACTAGGATAGCGAGAAAATAGAGAAATGAAAAGGACGAAAAATGAAGATACCTGAACCATGCCCTTCCACACCCCTTACAATTACGTCTAAACACAATTTAATGATCCCTGCCATTTTATGTTATCGGTGTAACTGAATGTCTCGTTAGTTACCTGCCTGCTCCGCGCCCCTAGCTACCCACATGGGGGCTAACACACCTTCGTAAAGGGAGATCGAGAAACTACATGAGTTACTCAAAGGGGAAATTCCCCATCGCTCCTTATACGTGTAATTGGTTTTAACGTTAATCATCAAATCAAAAATTATTACTCCCTGATAATACTTTTTTTTTCATGCAAGGCTTCCTTTCCAACGCCCATTTGGTTCTTTCTCATTATTGTATAATAATCTGAGGCAGAATATATATATATATATATATATATATATTTGTTGTTGTTGCCCTTCTCAATGTTTTTAAACATCTCCTGTAAATGCAACAATATTGTACGCGACATTTGAGTGGGCTTACATAGGAAGTAGGGGCGAGATGAAGTTTAAAGGAAGTTCTCTAGGTTCAGCTTAAAGAGAAGTTTGAGTTCTGGGGAGAGGTGGACAAATTGTGCGTTTTAATTGTTATTATGCAAGTGTGAAAGAGCATCAGAGAAAAAAGGTTCCCTGAAAAAACTATTTGATAAGCATAGTAGCATACACATGCTTTAGCAGTCACGCAAAACACACATTGTCAAATTATTATTCAATACATTCTGAGAAAGTAAACTGTTATCTAGATCTATTATTTTTAAATTATTTTTAAAATAATTCCATAAATTGGGGTAAAACAAAAATATTCCAACTATATGAGTGACGGTGTATGAACAGAATGTAGGAAAAGTTACTTAGGTCATCAGAAAATGACAGAAGTATAAACATGAAAAGGCAATTACATTTCGCTCCTATAAAATATGAATTTATGGAGTAAATATATTGAAGGGCAAGCCAGGAAAATCAATTTAATATATTTTTTTTACAAATAGACGAAGTCAAGGATGCAGTCCACGAAAAGAGTCCTTTGGGAGTCTTTGTCGAGTCATTGTCGAGACTCGCGCGTATTGTTTTGTGCTGAGTGATGTTAGGAAACAAGGGGTAAGGGTACGGCCATTGAAAAATCATTCTTTTGTGAAGGGCTCCAATTTTGAAACAACTTCGGTAACTGAGAGTGTAGGCGAATAGTTCGACCATGAATATACTAAGTAGGTACGACGATTTCCCCAACCTCTTTTTTAATTTTTATTTTTGTAAGCGCCTTACTATCAAAAGTGTAGACAAAATTTAATCACTACATCAACATGATCAAAATAAAATAGTCTTTCTAAAATACCTGCATGTAAGTGGCGAAACCATTGAGAAAAATATAGGAAGCAATATTGTCATCATCTGGGGAGGGTTGGTAGGGGCGTAACTATTATGTTCATTAAACTTGCAACCCCCGCCTCCCCCACCCCGCTTCCCCCCCTCTCTCTCTCTCTCTCTCTCTCTCTCTCTTCCTCTCTCTCTGCTTTTCTTCCTTCCTTCCTTCCTTCCTTAATCAATTAATTAATCAATATTTGTTTGCATTTTGGCCCTCTTGTTCCCCTTTTGTACCTACGCCATTGCCTGCTGTATTGTCGTTATGGATGGCCTTATGAACACCAAACTGACTTGCTCTAACATATAGTTTAAACCAGGATTAGTACGGTAATAGTAATTTGTGTATAGCTTGATTTAACGGCTTTACGGGCGAATACAGTCTGTAAGTTTTAGCATTATCAAAGCACACGTTTTTCAAATTCCCAAGTATTTAACAAACTAAAAACTTAATGGATTGAAAGGAGTCAGCAGATTGTTTTATTGATATGATTTTAAAACCAGATAGAAACTGATAAAATTGCGGTATGAGATCATTGCAGGATGAGTTTGCACGTTAATATTGACCGCAAACAGACAAACCAAGTAAAGTACATCATCACCCCCTGATCGTCTATCTATAGATATACCGATGTTGAACCAATACACATGACAGCTTAGTACAGTCCACGAGAACGACAGCCATCAGAAAGACAAGGTCGGTCTCGGCGTTGGCTCTCTGACTATTTTTTAGGGTTCCCCGGACCAGCTGTTCACGACAGCCGTAGAGAACAGCCATAGAGAACGAATTTTTCTTTTATTAAGTCTTCGATTTGATGATATGAATATCATATAAAAACAATACGATACCTTACATTCATTATGCCAGGTGTATGTAATTCCTTCTTTTGTTGATCACAGCGTTAGATTTTGATCTCATGGACCTTTTGGAAATTTCTTTGTTTACACTTTCTTACGTATTTTTTGTTTTATCGGTCTCATGGGCCGCTATTAGCCCCTTCACCCCTCCCCCGTCACGACGTTTCTTTATGTCTGCCTCTCCAAAAGTCGCGTAGTGCATGCCATTATAACTCAGTGGCCTAAGTAATAGAAACGGATGGTTCCGAGTCCAAACAAAGCATGGATTTTACTAGCACATGAACCGAGCAAGTCAGTAGCCTACAATGTTCTTTGGCCAGGCTTTATCATTTCCCAATTAACAAGTTCCTCGGATATGACTTCAAAAGTTTTGTCTCTGTATTAGTCATGCAAGATCCACGTTAATCCTATCAAATACGAGGTATATATGTGAATATATATATCTTTTTTGTTCTATATTCTGTAACTTAGTTTTTTTTCTTCCATCCCTTGTATAAACATTACATTCTTTTTATTCACCTTGCCATATCGTTAATGTATGTATTTTGTTGACTATAGGGCCCCGCTCACAAGCTTAGCTTCTACAGGGGTCCTAAAACCATTCATTTAATGATGTAATCAAGTTAATATATGTTGATTAATGTACTATTACCAGTCTCTTTTTCATGTAAAAGATTATATCATGTTTTGTGTGGTTTTGAATAAATGAACTTGAAATGAACTTGACTTAATGAGCATACACACCTGTTGATAATGGGAGTCCTTGATGACCTGCCAATAGGTATCTATCGTCACTTAATTAACCCCCTTTCTATCCAGACCCAACCTCGTCTCCACGGTGTTTAAGAGTGCAGCTTCCTGCTTCTTTATTACTCATACAAAGCATATACTGAGGATAAGAAGAACAAAAACTGGATCGCTTGTTTTGACAGAGTGCGAGGTGGCGAGTGAGCCTGTTATACTGTTTGGAATACAGATACACCGTCACTGTAATTTTGATAAAGGGCCCTTCATAAACAGGAATAGTTGAGCCCCTGTCTAAAAAGTGGTTAAATCTACCCATAACCTTTTAGTGGACACCCCCTCCCCTAAAAAAAAAATAAAAAATTCCCGACCCTAATTGTTGTCGGCCTGGTCTAGCAATTACTATAATTCAGAAAAACACGATATACAAATTCCAATATATAATTCCCCAAATTCTATTTTCTAGTTTTATTTTATTTATTCCATGCGAAGTGCAAATTAATTTGAACGATTCATTTAAGGAACCACCCCCTCTCACTCCCTGTCCCTCTTTAATATTTTCACTTTCTCTCTTTCGTTTTGTTCATTCAATATATTATTGGTCATTTTCGGCTCCCTGTTTTGGTAATATGCATGGTATACTAAAAAGATTTGGCTGATATAATTTTTCATTGTACGAAGATGAAATATCGATACCAGGTCACCTATAGAGAAGACAAACTGTCATTGTTTCATCACAGGTTATGGAAAAGATTACTGTAGTAACAAGTTGTGATTCACGAGTTTGTAAACCCAATCGAACTTTATCCTCTGGTATTAGGATCACATTTCGCTTTGCCATCATGCCTCTATAAAAAGGATCGAGGGAGGGGGATCACCCTGTATTATATCCCCGAGAATGGGATTGCTCATGACTTGATTTCAAATTGATGCGATGAGAGAAAGGGGGAGAGAGAGGAGGCGAGTATGATGTAGGCAGGGACTGGGAGGGGGAAGGGATGCAAAATGTCATATTTATTCATTGATTGATTGATTTTATTCACCGAATATGAAAAAAACATTTAGATATTAACATAATATGATAATTTGACATACAAGTTTGGGAAGGAATACCCTGATCAACTGCGCCATTACATCAAAGCTGATCTACCGAGAGGTCCTACAATAAATTTATTTAAAACAAAACGAGAGAAAATCTCATATCGCAATTAACAATTCATTTTAAACAAGTAGGAAGAGATGTGTTTGAAAAACAAACTTGTGGACGTTGGTGACATTAAAGTCTCATATCGAAATTAATGACTGTTCCCCCTTCCCCACGGTTTACCAACCCTTGAAGCAACCCACTCTACATGAGTCATGTTAGGGATACCTTTGTGGAAATTCGGACTCGTATCGGTAGTGATATATTCAGCAAAAAGGTCATTCAAATACTAATTTTGAGTGTATTCTACTATGGGAATTAACTCCTAAAATAAATGAAGTCTAACAATGGCTTCTAGTATAATGAACGTTTATTCATATAAATAGACCACGTCAATGTGATATTTTAGCTACATGATTCACACACAGACTTTGTAGTGAACTATCTCGGCAAGAGACAGCACAGATTGACCTTAAAGATTCTAAATATACTCAAAGACTCTAAAGCCTCCTAAGATACCAACCTAGAAGTAAAAAATTATGATGTTTTGCTCATTATTAGCCAGGTTAGATATTTAACGTGATGATCTACCAATCAACGGATTGACATTGTACCCTTTTATTTGAGCGAAACATCGGCGTAACCCTTTCTGGAATTATGAGTGTGTGATACATGATGTTATAGATTTCATATTCCATGGGACTTTCGTTGATTATTAGCACTTTCTTGTAGTTTGAATGTGCGTGGTATTCGCTAAACAAGTGGCGCCCTTACAATCGTATAGACCCCTCCTCTCCCCCCCCCCACTCCTCCCCTTCTCCTCCCCCTCTCCCCACCCCCTCTCCTGAACGAAATTGTTTAATTATAAAAACATTTTAGAGAGAGAGATATATAGGAAATGAATGAAAGAACCAATAGCCCCCCCCCCCCCCCCCGAATACAAAAATAAGAAAATAAAGTAGAACCCCGCTTGCATGGGGGCCGAGGAAAAGAGAGAACTTGGGGTGCGGGAATATGAGAGGTAGCAAGAAATAAAGGTGAAAGAGGTAAAAGTTCAAATAGCTACACGTATGTGTAAGCTATAAATTGGGCGGATCTACCTGGTTTCCTTGCTACTCAACACCCTACCTATGAGACTCTAGGGTTTATAGAAGAAGGCCGTATAAGTCACAACTATTTCATTGATAAACAGCTCAATGCTCTAAAAAGTGAGCTTTTGATAATCGCTGGGTGTTGGTATATATAGAATATATTACAGCCATACAAATAAAAAATAAAATAAAAAAAAACATGCCTGCAAGCTCTTTGTTTATCACTTGTTCTGTCGGGTTCACGGACTAACAATATACATTATTAGATGACGAATAAGTTTTTGTTACTATTGTTGTTTCTGTGCTCTTACAACGTTTATATATATTAATATTTTATCGATTTCTAAATAAGACTTAAAAAAAAAAAACTTCAAACTTCAAAACTTCATGTTATATGCGTTACATATTCTTGTTCATTTTGTGTGTAGGGCCCTGAATATACTACAGTGTTTATAATCATGTAAAAAGCTTCCTTTGTTTAATGATTATATGGATGCCTATAATTATGATTATAAAATTCTGTAAAAAGAAAAAGAAAATTAATAAATAAGTAAATAAGGAAATAAATATGAACATGAATTAATGTATATTCAAATGAATATATATGTAGCGTTATTATAAAGTTACACAAAAGTACCCTTTTCACATTTTCTATTCTTTTAATGTGATCATTTTCAAATATTGCGACTTGGATCCTACTTCCAGTGGCCCTACCTGCTAGGCCTATCCCTACAATCAGACCGTGTCGTGTATTAGTAATCAAATGACCTTGCTTTCCAGCTATGGTCATGCGTAGGGGTTTCCTTGAACCACGTTAGACCCAGGTACACACCCAGCATGAAAGCTAATGACTGGGACTGTGGCTAATAAAATAAATTAATCGTTTTCTCAAGATAGGCTCGTTGAGTAATTGGAGCACCGGGAATTCACTTATAATCACGACTGAACGTAATTAGACGTCATCGGAAATGAACGGTGTCAACTCAAAGATTGGTTAAGTCTGCTGATGCTGTAATAATGATTAATCTAGGGGGTAATTAAGTGATGATCAATGCATTTGTTTTTTAAAGGACTTACAGTTGCCATTGTATTCTTGTATTTTCTATCCTCGTAATCGTATACTTGGATAATAATATAAACCGACCCGTTTTCCTTTCAATTTCTAAACGTTACGAAATGATATTTATTTCATTTAACTGTATAATAACCAATAAGACAACTTAATTTCTGTACACAATGTCTTACTCTGGATACATGTATAATTACTTTGGTTTTCGTTTTTTGTGTGTGTGTGTTTGTGTTAGGTTGTTGTTTTAATTAATTGTTCCTTTATCAGAATTGGTCTTTTAAAATCCTTTCCTCGTTAAAGATACTATGTCCCTTTTGCAGCCAACATCAATTCTGTAGAACTTTGCAGGAATTATGAATATGTCATGTATGTCCTATTTGTGACATTTAAACGTTAGCAGTATCCTAATATTCAAATTATTCAAGGAAACCCGTTTACTTGCTAGACTTCACTGTCAGACACTATCGAGTGACTGACTGGCTTTTTTTGTTTGTTTGGTAATAACATACATAAAATGAGCTGTAAAGGGTAAATGAGCATTTGTCTACATCAATAACCCACTTCTTGAAATGGCCAAAATTAAACTGATTGAATCTTTGCGCAGCATAAAACATACGACCATTCGGTACAATGGTTTGGTAATCAGACTATTACTTACTGGCTCTATAGCTCTTAAGTCGATTCGATAACTAATAGTCGTTATTTTCCCACTTAATGACATTTTCAAGCCCCCTTTTTTAGGAAAGTTCGATATTAGTATTATCTTTCAAATGCCGTTGGAATGAAACCTTTTCATTTTGTGGGCCTGCACATGGGACATAGAACCTTCAAATCATTTGAAAATTGGTTTTATCCATAGAGCTATTATATGCGTCTAGGGGGTACTGAAGCCAATGACAGGGGTAATAATATATCTGTAAAGCGCTTAGAGACATCATAGCTGTATTAAGCGCTTTATAAAAGCGGAATTATTATAATTATCACATCGTTAAAAATGGTTTCATTCAAATCTTTCCGCCAGTAAAAAAATGTGTCTTATTACATCCCATGCAGTAAACGCTTATCGATTCCACTTATACCTTCAATGAATTAGCTAAGCCTTGTGTTTTCGTGTTTATTTATCTGTTTATCAATTTATCAATTTAGTCATTCATTCATTTGTATATGTGTTTATTTGTTTATATATTTATTCAATCATTCATCCATATAATTATAAATATTTATAACATATTTAAATGCATTCATTCTTGAGTAATGATTAACGTCTTCATGTATCTATTCCTTGTAGTATTCGCTGGTGTATTTGTGCGGTTTCGTCAGTTAACCAGCCTTGTACCTCCATACTATGTCAAGATAAAGAGTATGAATATCTGGGGTCTCGTCTTCGGCTGGACCTCAGGCTTCGGAATGACACTCGTCGCTAACTTTCAGGTAACTATTAGTATCTATTATAAGATGATGACGTGGATCCTAATCAAATGATTGGTTGAAAGCGTACACTTGACCAGGCATTTTTGGGGGCCTAACGCGTAATTTGGATAATGACTGGTAATGACCAGTCATTATCAAAATCATGTTATAAAGCAGCATTTTATAAAACAAATACAACATAATCTTATGAAACAAATAATACACATCCTTTTGTTCGGGCATTAGCAAACTTACCCACACTCAGTACTTTCAAAACAGTCCGAACGCCCTCGGCTATCACATCGAGCGTGTCAGACTGTTTCACAGGTAGGCCTACCTTGTGTGGATAATTCTTACTAATGCCCTCACTGCTGTGTATTATTTGTATATTATTATTTTTATCTCGCCTGCGTAGCAAAAAGCGAGACATAGGCGCCGCTTTTCCGGTGACGGCGGCGACGGCGACGGCGTCAACATTTTTGATATAATTTTTAAAGTATAAGTTCTAAGTCAATGAAACTTGGACTATAAGATAATCAAGTATCCCCAATCATGTGAGTAGAATTTCAGATCACAAAGTCAAGGTCAAAGGTCATTTCAGGTCAACAGACTTGGACTATGTTGTAGCATCATCATCGAAAACTTAACCTAAGGTTAAGTTTTTGAATTTTTGATATAATTTTGAAAATATAAGTTCTTTGTCAATGAAACTTGGACTATAGGGTTATCAAGTCTCCTCAATCATGTGAGTAGAATTTCAGGTCACTATGTTAAGGTCAAAGGTCATTTAAGGTAAAAAAAACTTAGACTTTGTTGTGGCATCAACATCAAGATTTTCAAAATGTTTCTTCTTCGTTATTTTTCAACCGATTTTGATTCTGATTGTTTCATATGATAGGGCTAGGAAGGGGATTTAAAACTTTTACACAGAATCGTGAAATTCATTATCTATACTAATTTATGCAAATTTATTCTAAATCACAAAAAAATGCTTCTTCTCCTTCATTTCTCGACCAATTTTTATTTGGTTTGCTTTATCTGGTAGAGCTAACTTTGGTTCACTAAAGTTCTACACAGAATTTCGAAATTGTTCTCCATTAATTAATTATGGTAATTTATACAAATTTATTCCAAAAATAATTTAAAGATCCCATTTTTTTTTTTTTTGACCAGTTCAAAAGTGTACCACATAAAATTTACGATTTTTTGTTGTAGCGAGATGCGGATGAGCGCTACGTCATTGACGTTCTGGTTTATCATATTGAATTGCGTTATGCAGGCGAGACCGCCGAGAGCGTTTCCCTTGTTATCATATTACTACAGTATTATTTGTATTACTATTATTATTTGTAATATCATCATTATTATAAGTATTAATATTATTATCATTATTATCATTATTATTAATACTATTGTCATGTTGTTGATGTTGATGTTTTGCAATAATGTAGAGGTGCCGTATTCGAATAGTTCAAACAATATTGACCGGATATCCAAAGGCCGCAGGTCAAGTATGACATGAGTGTCGAATGCCTTGGCTGATTTCGTTTTTGTTTTTGCTTTTTGTTTTTCGTTTGGTGGGGATGTTCGGCAAATCTTTTAACACATCTCATACTCCGCCCCCTCTAATCTCTCTCTCTCTCTCTCTCTCTCTCTGTCTCTGTCTCACTCTCCTCTCTCTCCCGCACACATGCACGCACACTCACTCACCCACACAGACACACACTCGCACACAACAACATAAACAAATCTCTTAGCAGTGACCCTTGCTTTCAAGGGAAGTGATAGGCCTATACAAAAATCTGGGCAGACATATAGAAATAAAAAAATTGAAAAAATGAAGACTCATATCCTAAAGAAATAAGGCCTATCGGAACCGAATTGCGACCAGATATAAACCCCATATATGCCAAGGACAGCGTGAGTAGCCACGTGGACTGTATGAGGTACTCGATAACAAAGCACAAATCATGAAATAGCAAGAAATTAAAAGAAAATTAGATCTAGGGCACTTCCGTTCAACGGCTTCTGTATAGATTTTGCGGAAGTTGTAAAAACGTTGTTGGTTGTCGCGAGGCATGTTAATATGGGCCTCTTCAACACTCATGATATGGACTTATATTACGTGAATGCTAAAAAGATATCTCTCATAGTGTTACAGTTGTGATTAACTTGATAAGCAGGTATACAGTCATACATCCTTCAAGTCTGCCATTCGGATTTAATAACTGCAATATAACAACAAACAAACATACTGCATTAACAAACTATAATATATTTTTTTAAAACATCAAATAACGAATAAGAAACAAGAACTTTTTAGAAAATACTTTTTATATCATGAAAAGAGGTTTGTTATTTTGTTATTGTCGATATATAGAAACAAATATTCAAGACCTATATGAAAACAAATCTAACGTATTATATAGGTTGTGAGTTGTCCTGTGGGAAACATTTGACAAGATCTGGCAGTTCAACTTGAATAAAGACGCCCTTCTTCTTTCCAAAATCTAATCATTTTGTACCCACGCCCTTGTTATTCTCTGATTCATAATAAATGTTACCTTTGTTGCGAAGCTTGAAAGTACAGTGTACTAAAATCCAATATACCTAAGTCAATAAAGGTTATAAGGGTTTGAGCGAGAGAGTGACGTAAGGCTAACATATGATGACAGATGTATCAATCACTCCCTTATGGTTCATGAAAGTCAAACGGAGTTGCACGCCATTTTCTTTTAATTTGATACTTTCTCCTCGTCAACTCTTACAATAATTTAAATGGCAACTTCATCACTTGACCCAAGATTATACCTGTACCCAATCCGAACCTTAATCCTATCTTAAAACCCAATTGAAAACCTTACCCTTGAACTGAATGAAATAAAAAGTGATTGACAATTTGCACTAGGTCGTATTTAACAACTGATATAACTCTATTCGTATTGGAGAAGTTACAATGAATAAATATTTATCCCGAGAAAAAAACACATCCAATGGAATATTCAGCATGTAATAGGGCTGGTGCAACCATTATACATATACAGAGAAGGGATAGTTATAAGCTATTGAATAAAACAAACACTTTAGTAGTTCAGCTCTGAAGTATGCCTCAAATTACAGGATATTTGATTGAATATTGTAAAACGTTCTTGAGTAGCATGTGAAGATTCACTCCTTGCCATTTACTAGATATTTACTAAATATAAAGCTTTTTGCTAGCTCCTTGATACACGAAACGTCTTTGACCGAACTATGTATTTACTTTGGGGGAGTATTAATTGGGTGTTACCGGATCTCGTTGCATTTTGGCTTTTACGAACGGAGAAAAGGTCGTTCATGTAAACAGGGCTAAGTTCAATTATCGCAGGAAACGTCGAAAGACATAGTTGTTTTGACCTCTAAATACCGAGACAATTCTGTTTAAGTAACTCCTACATCGAATATCAAGGTATTACAATTATTAAACAACTCATTTATTTTTGATGGGAAATAAATAATCGGCCATAAATGCTGTGCTTAAATCCAATCTGTAAAACTTGTCAATTATGACAATTGGGTTTTGCTGGTATTACCCAACACTACGCTACAGTAGTCAAACTGAGATTGGATTACAGTTTTGCAGAATAAAAAGGCTTTACCTTGATCTGAATAGATACTTATTCTTTTAAGGAGAAAATAGGCTTAACCTGCTATGACCTTCTTACGTATATGTTGCACATTATCATTCCACAGTAATTTCTCGTCAAAATAAACTCTCAAATATTTGCATACTTAAACTCTTTTAATTTTCACAATACAAAGTTTGCAATACTTAAGTTTCCTTTCTTTTTAAGTCGTTGGGCAGAACCAATAAACATAGTTCAGCATTTATTTGAGTTGATTATGAGGTTTTTTCAGTCAGGAAGAAATATTAATTAAATCAACATTCAGCTTGTTAGATGGGTACCCGGTACGATACAAAAGATGATGCGGTTGATGGGGCATTTATGCGCTTTTAAAATGGCGCCTGGCCGGAGTACTCCCCATGGAGCGGAGGTTGAGCACTATCATATGCGGATTAGCAATTGAATCAAATGACCGGGGTAATAATAAATACACTGAAAAGCGTTCAAAAAGTAGTACTAAGCGCTAGTAACATGCAATTAGTATTAGCAACATGGCCTGTCCGTTATGTACATCACATTTTAGTCATGCTCGGCTTGTTTACAATTGAAAAGTAAGCAAGACGTGGTTGACGTTATGCAACGAACAATCTGAGCGTCTTATACAACAGAATGCTGGCATGCACCTGGCTCATTATACACAAGAGGGAGGTCGGGATAGTACATCATAACATCCTGTTTTGATCATATGATGACGTACTAACAAGTCATACTTGTAGTTTGTTATCAATCTTTCATTCTTTGCAATTAAAGGTTGGGTGTGATGGCGTTAAGAACGGGCTGTCTACAGCATGCTTATTTACGCTGACGATAGGGTTTTTGTCTGACTGTACAGCTAACCATGTATAGGCCATTCAACAAAAAACAACAACACTTGCTGCACATTACAATAAGCACCACTTTTATATTCAACTTCTCGGTTACAGCTTTAGTTTTCTTTGATTTAATTTTATTTATTTAAAGTCAACACCCATATTGCATTCATATTTAATATAATATTGACGTTAAGTACAATGGATAAAGAAAAGTATGGTAATGCATTATTACCCATTGCAAAAATTATATGATTGTTGTCCGAACTTTTGGAACGCAAAGTCGTCCATTGCTCAAATTTTAGATAACTGCCCTTTAAACCAAAGACCCAATAACTTGTTCATTACAAAACCAAAAAGAACATTAACAAAGAGAAGCAAAATATAAACAAACAAATTAAACAAACATAAAAGAAACATTGAAGTAGATCATATTTACACATCATTCTTTAAGCACAAATTAAACGAATGAAACACGATAGCTTCCGAAAGCAAATCTTTGCATCGGGAGGCTACTTATATCAAATTTCAATTTGAGGGAGATATATATTGGGTTTCAATTAATCGAACAAAACATCAAATATGTCAAGGAACTAAACGAAATAAGGTTTGCTTATATATTTTCAACTTGTTAAAATATGTATCGAATATTAGTTTACACGCCACTTGATATTCTAATAGACATTCACATGATTCGGTTTTCTAATCGATGGGAAGTCTTAAACTTATATAATGTCATCACAGAAGTTCTTGTTTTCATCAAACAGCATTATGGGATCAGGTCAGTGTTAAATATTATAGAGATATCGACTGCTTTGAGAGGCCTGGCTGTTTTTATATGCCTAAGGGAATCGCGCAGATCCTGCCGCGAATTTTTTTTCCGTACTCGAGAGGGCAAATACCCCATGTGCGCATGCGCGTGGACTTGTGATTTCTCTGCTACTTCCCATACGAAATGTACATGTATTCGCATCTACTGTGCACGATTCGCGTTCTACGAGTAAACGATGGCATAGTAGTCTTCAAACACAGACTCTGATTTGCCAGTTTGACAAAACAATTACGCATATATCGTGCGTAGCAATAGTACTAGTATTCAAGTCTGAGTAGTTGTATGATTCAGACATTTTAGTGCTTACAGAAATGCATCCCAAATTGAATAGCATGGTATAGTAGTCTGCAAGCACAGACGCTAATCGGACAGTTTGACAAGATAAACGGAGGGGTGCTACCGTGCTACAAGAAATAAATCAAATCAAATTACGTTACAATTCATTTCATTTTTCATTTCATTTTATTTATTAAATATTAAATTAAATTCAAATTTGATTGATTAAAATCCAAATAGATAGTATAATTTTCCGTTTTTTTTTCTTCTAACAATGGATAACAAATTTCAAAATTAAAGTGCAACATATGTAATTGAGCGTCTGTGCTTGCAGACTACTATACCATTCTATACAAGTTGCAATGTATTTCCATATGCACTACTGGGTCTGAATCATACAACTACACAGACTTGAATAAGCACATCGCGACACATACGCATATTGATTTGTCAAACTGGCAAATCAGAGTCTGTGTTTGAAGACTACTATGCCATCGTTTACTCGTAGAACGCGAATCGTGCACAGTACATGCGAATACATGTACATTTCGTATGGGAAGTAGCAGAGAAATCATAAGTCCACGCGCATGCGCACATGGGATTTTTGCTCTCTCGAGTACGGAAAAAAAATTCGCGATCCTGCCATTAAATAACTGAAATTTTCGATCATTCGGGAATCGCAGACTGAAAGCACTGTATGGTGTCTGCGCTCGCTCAAAGAACATTTTAACAACGTTAACCAATGGGTATCGCAGTAAAATGTTATTATATTCCCGGTAACCGGAATTTCGAGGGTTTTTACTCTTGAACTAGTAAAAACCCAAAAGGGGGTAAGGCAAATGGAGAAGACGACGACGAAGAAGGAGATGACGAAGAAGAATAACACGAAGAAAAAAAAGAACAAGAAGAAGAGGAAAAGAAGACGAAGAAGATGACGAAGAAAAAAAACCCAGAAGAATAAGAAGCAAAAGAATGTGAAGTAGAGGATGGATAAGGTAGAGGAGGAGAAGCAAAAGAAGAAAAGAAAGAAGATAGAAAAAAGGAATAGGAACACGAATGAGGAAGCCAGAATGATTGTCAAATACATCAGTGTCACTTTATCAAAACATTAATGTGGGTGTCCTAAAAATCTTTTAATCTCAGAATGCTAACAATTCTTAGCACATGACATTTCTTGACATTACTTCCCACATTGCAATGTGACTAATGTGTAATTAGCTTTTCCTGTTTTGCACCCACATCTCTCTCCTCACGATGAGGATGCTCGTGTCTTGAAGGTGAAAGATGAAGATGTGTCCTTGCCATGCGCATGCAGGGTATACTCATTGACCGGGATCCCGGTCGGATGCAGCAGGGGCATCCCTCCGCCTCTTATTTAATAATAATAATAATAATAATAATAATAATAATTCTACATTTATATTGCGCACAACTCTGCCGACATATAGGCATCCTTGGCGCACAGATCAACAAATCAAACACATTACAAGGATATGGTCATTAGTATTTAAAAAAAAAAACAACAACAAAACAGAACTAATATTTTACAAAATGGAAAGGCGACAAATGGTCAACATAACTACAGATATACTACTAATAACGGAAAGTAATACAAAATATTCTAAATCAGATGAATAATCCTAACTTGAACAGTACGCTCTAGTCATCAACAAAGTCTTCAATTTTTGTTGAAAGGTTCTAATTGATGAGCTCAAATTCAAGTCCAAGGGAAGGGCATTCCAGGCACGTGGGGGCAGCAACGCAAAATGAGAAGGGAATATGGAAAAAGCCCTTTTCCCCAAGAGAGGAAACTCTGCATGATATATGGGTGTGTGTGTGTGTATGTGTGTGTGTGTGTGTGCCTGGAGGCGGTAACCGCGACTCCCCTCCCTTTCGAGCCCTACATGGTGCCTGCGGGTTTCCCGAGCCTTCGATCTTTTGGGCAAAGAAAAAAGAAAAAAAAGAAAAAAAAAACCCGGGGAAATAACACTCAGTATACTGTTTGTGGAAGGGAGTGGTGAGTAGTGTGCACAACCCACTTTTTTTTCTTTTTTTTAGGTGGTGCCTCTGGAATTCCTTGGTTTTTTTGTCTTAAGGTGGGAGGGGGGGGGGGTCATAAACGGTATGCCCCCCCCCCCCCCCCCCCCCATATTTATACCTGAGAATCTACGCACTTGTTTTATTTTTATTAAGCTGGATAACATTTTAACCATAAGGAATTTGTGTTGTTGTTAAGAACATGCATATTTTGGGGGCAGGTGAAATATTACCCAACATTTGATAAATATAATATTTGTAAGCCAATTACAAACCTGCACGTTCTCGTGTATTTTACCCTACATAAGTGTTACCAATAACTTTTTAGAGTGTACGCTCATGAATGATTTGTTATTTTCTCCAATTATATTTCCACAGGATTCCAACGTACTAATCGTGCATTTGATTGGTGCATTTCTCCTGTTTGTGATGGGAACAGCCTATTGTGTCACACATACCATCATCTCATACAAACTATACCCACAATACAACACGATGTTGCTCTGCCGGTTGCGATTGGTCATCACCACGACAACGGCGGTATCGATGATAATCAGTATCCTTTTTGATAATATGATACCTGAGATAACTTAGGAAAAGTTGAGAAAAAGGATGAACGGGGTAAGTACTGTTAGATCCTATGCTCCCACTCTCACCCCCATTCTCACCGTTTGTCTCTCAGTCAAACCCGATTATGTGTTACTGTAACACCACGTAACATTATGACTGACGACCATTTCAGATCTATTGTTTTCTTCTGAGACTCTCTCTCTTTCTCTCTCACTTTCCCAAAGCATTGCTGCGTCGCATCTGAGTGAGTGTAACGGTAACACGATGCATTGAAAGGATAATTGAAAACCATAAATCTAGACCAGTCCTTTTCTACTTGTTCCTTTCTTCCTTCCTCTACCCCCCCCTCTCTCTCTCTCTCTCTGTATCACTCTCAGTCTATCTTTATGTCTGTCTGTCTCTGCTTGTCCCCCTTCTCTCTCTCTCCTTTACATCATGGACCTACTACATACACACACTATCTATCTCACTCCCTCTGTCACCACCTCTCCGTCACGCTGACTGAGTGTAACGATGACACAATGTAACGGACCATTGCAAACCATCTTAGACCCAGACACATCCATCATATACATTGTCATCACCTGAGATATCATATATATCCTCTCCACTTGACACCTGTCTGCTCGTGTAGCCTCCCCAGAGATCCGGGTAGACGTACCCTTGGTCTGCCGATCGGATACTATTTCAGTTTTATTCTTAAAGACCCCTTCACATATGGCGATGTAAATCCATTCAAGAAGAATGAATAAATGAATAATTAAACAAATGACTAAATAAATAAACAAATACATAAATGAATAAGGAACGTATCAATAATTGAAGAAAATGTATAAATAAGTATATGATTAAATGAATACATGAATGAATAAAAAGCGATAAATAGAAAAAGAAAGAAATAAAAATATAAATGAATGAATGAATGAATGAAAAATGAATGAATTAGTAAATGAGTAAGTACATAGATAAATATATAAACATCATAACTAAAAGCCATTACGCCTAAGATGTGTCATTAATGAATGACAAGGGGCAACATAGTTTCTTTTTTATAATTACTTTTAAAAGTAGTTTATATTTATTTCTCATTATGATGGATTTTATTCTTCACTTCGCTTCATCAATTTCAAATTAGTCTGTTTGCAGTATTATAAAAATCTGTCCGTCCTGTGGTTTTTTTTTAGACTGCTCAGCCAAATTAAAAAGATATCTAGGGGAGACACCACAATCAATACTGGAGTGTAATACCAACTCTTCTGATAGTAGAACTTGAACCTAACAGCATAAGATACAAATTCTGTCTACTTCTGAAATTTCATGACATACATGAATAACCTCTACTGACATTCAATCCTGGAAATGCCGCCTTTCTCCGGAAAATTTCTAAATTTCAAATCCGTGGTATTTGAAGCGTCTGATCCCTGATTTGAATAAATCTTTTTTAATCGTTTTAGATCATTATGACCTATAAACTTTGATCCAAATTATCTGATACTTTAAGGCCGAATTGGTACGCGATCATCGGCTTCCTGGATAACAGCTAGTTTGTATTCCTGATATACCTTTCATCGCATAATTGTGTTGGCTGAAAACATTACGTAGATAAAAACATATATGTTAGGAACTTTTAAAGTTTAAGGTTTAAAGTTTTAAATATTCATATATTTTTATGAAATGATAAAATAAAGCTTAAGATAAAAAAAAGGCAGAAGACGGAAGAATAACCCTCTGCTTAATATCCGCCTTATTGATACGCAAACAGTGAGTATATAGCTTATACAATCTTGAGGTCAACAAAAGGGTGTGCAGCACTGAGGCTGCTTAAAGGGATAGTTAAGTTCTTGTTTAAGACCGCAAATACCTTGAAAGAGCATGGTTATTGCTCTTATTTATATTTATGACATTTCTAGTGGCCTTTCAGAACCTAAAATTGCCATGAAGGTAATTTTAGACCCCAAAATGTGTAAAATACGATTAAACCTCTTTCAGCTCCACTTTAAAAAAATACGGTGTCCGATAATTATTGAATTGATCAATAATAACATAACATGGGCCGGCTGGTTGGGCGTATTATAACCAACGCGAAAAATTCAACAAAAAGCCTACATCGGCATTGGGTGGAATAAAACGTGTAAGGCGCTATCTCGTTTTTCAACGGCTGGTTCAAAACTACCGAATATTTCAGCCGGCTCTGAACCTTTTTTGATCAAACAATGATGATTTTGTCATCTAAATTGTATATTCTTTCAAATTTGAAACTCAGTTTTTCATTATCTCACAAACGAATTATTTTGTGTAGCGTCCTCTGCAACAAAACTCAACTATCCCTTTAAGGAGAAGCGAACACCAGAGGAGCTTTTCATGGTGTTGAAGGAGACTGTCACAACCACTGCAGAAGCAGTGATGGTGACAATGGTTGATAGTTTTTCTCGTCACGTTAGTTTCATTTGTACCCAACAAATATCTAGGTGTATTTATACATTTTTATTCTTACTTCCATGAACTCGGAACTCGTCTTTCCTCGAAGGAAGATAGGCAGTCAGGTACTCAGCCCAATCTGGATGATAGATGTGCGTTTCCGATTATAGATGAAAGGTGGCCGCCTTATACACTGTTATACAGTTGTAGCTTGACCGTGCTACCTTCATCTTTTACCACTTTTTCTTTCTCTTTTGACCTTTCCTCTTTACGTTTATTTTTCTTTCATTTTTCCTTCATATTATCCTCCTCTATTTTCTAGTTTTCTCCAATTCAATTCCATCTTCAAATCATTCTTAATCTACCCCTCTCCTTTTCGTTGTTTAACCCTCTTTTATTCAATATCTCGTCCCCCGATCCATCTTCTTCTTTAATCCTGTATTGCACTCGTTCTCATGCCGTATGTACATCGGCATCGAATTCTAGTCTCCATATTTCTTCAGGAGGCTAAGAGAAGGAGGAGCTAACCGGGAGTTTCATGGTTCGAAACCAAGTCAATGCGCTAGTGCCTCGGACAGGACTTACATCTTTAGGGTCTTGGTAACTTAATTACAAGCCATACTCGTGCTTTTCCACGAGTCGACCAAGCAAAAAAAAAATCATCCAAAGATCACGAGATGTGATTCTGACATGTTGGTTAGGTTTTAGTACAAAACAAACTTTGGTCGTTCTTCGGTGACGTCATCACGATAGACGTAAGAGATCACGTGTGCAGCTTCACAGTCACATGCTTAATAATCATATTATGAACAAATATCGTAAAATACACCATGACGTCATGTCCAAGGATTGGCTTCAGGTTATTTCGCCAAATATGCGTCTAAGTTTATCCTATTCATCAGCATTTAAGTTCATTAAATAATTACATCGTGACATGATGGGAAATTCCTTGGCTTTGATACACAGTGCCAAGTGGTAACCGCTCTTCGTGATTGGGCTGCTCTAAAATAGCATATCTTTCTTATGGCTGATGACTTATACCATTATCTTTTGTCCCCAATGCGTATGTCTGGTTTTGATGCAGTGGTAATGGCACAAAATAGGATGGATGTGGTATTCCATTTCTGGATTTTTTTTGGTTAGACGGATTAATTTTTTTCTCCATTAATACCGGGATTAAAGGTAAGCTGGAGTTTATATCATGACTGATAATAGATTCTAACATCTTCGAATGACACTTTTAAAGATCAAACATCCTATTTATAACTGAAAATTCAGCAATATGTCAAAAGATGGTATATAGAACTTGTATTAAAGCAGAATATTGACATCAATTATGTCAAAACAAGGTCGCAATAATACCAACTCAAAGAAATAAACACACACGTGACTACAGTATTGGGTACTTTACATATTGAGTTCTGTCTATAGAAATCACTCTTGGTTTATGTAATATCTTAATTACACGACGGACAGAATGATGGAAAATAATGAAAGCCTTTACTAACTTATTTCAAATATATTGTTGTGCTTATGATATGTCTGTACTAGTTTGGCAAGGGAGATTAGACCTCCCTGCAAGGTCACCGACAGCTGGTTATCTCATCAAATCGGCTCTCAAATAACATGAGAAAAAGAGGATCATGGGGGACCAACAGGCACCGATTAGGCATTCTTTGCTATGTAGAGGGTGCATGTAGCTATTAGTAGTGCATTGGGACTTTAACATAATGTTGTCACTATTAACGTAGTTATGGCTCATGAAATAATCTATTAACAGCATCTACCAGTGAATTGATACGAACAACTTGGATAACTTGTTTTAAATAAACTTCGCGATGTTCATTGCACCTTGCGGCTCATTCGTTAGGCTTTTTTTTACACGGTCATAAAGTTCTATGATATGATGACATCGTAATCTTCATATCGCGATCATGAAGTTTATGGCCTTAAACAATAGGTGGTATAGCACTTGTCCATTATTTCGTATGTGTGTGAAATCTATAAATCACTATGCCATCCATTTTCTTTCCTTGAGCGGTCTCGTGTAGTTATTTTTGAATTATTGCAGGGCCTTTATCGCTCTACGTAACGAGATCTGCATTCAATAGAATACTAGAAACTAATATAGTTCCCTTTTTATGAGAAAATCCCATTTTGTTTGCATTTATTTGCTCCATCTCTTTCCTCTTCTCTCTCTCTCTCTCTCTCTCTCTCTCTCTCTCTATTTCTCTCCCAGATGCCACTCTACCCCCTTTCTTTCTCTGTCTCTGTAATCTGTATGTCTCCCTTTGTCTATTCATCTATAATTATGAATATATATCTATCTCTTCCTCTTTTGTTTCCACTCTCAGCCGCTGAATGTATGTCAATGACTACTCGGAGGAAACTGTCAATTTTAATTCTCAACAAACACCGATACAAACTACTTAAAACCAACCAGAATAAACATTTTTGGTTTTGAAACCATGCTAAGTGTAATAATCTTGGAATATCACTCGCAAACTTTCAGAAAAGCTAATCAATTTAGTCGCCGAACCACATTTTTAAATCCTTTCAGCTCAAAAAAACGGATGAAAGGAAACCTCAATACAAACAGTTCCTCTGCTTCCTCCCAATCGTTCTGCCTCTTTGGAAATGATATACATGTGCTAACGCACTAGTTTTGCTATCCATAACGTCATAATGACGTAGGCCCTAAATCCGCGGATACACTTGATAATCGGAGAGAAATGGAAACATGAGAAGCCTTGCTTTACAGAGTAGAGGAAAACACCAATCAAAATGTAAGTGAGCTGGGTAAAACTAAAACACCCTGAATTCTTTTCGGTGAAGGTGTGCTGACAAGTTCAGGTGAAAAGTTACCGGGCAATAAACGAGGAAAGGAAAGGGCCTCGGGTTGGTGACAACGACCTTGGGTTTTGGCCTAAGTTAACTAAGGTTTGATTCTTGCTAGCATTAAAGGGGAAGTCCACCCTAATATTGAGTTTGTTTTGATACATGCAGAAAAATGTGAGAAACAGGTCAGTGAAAGTGTTATTTCAATGTTCATTCTAGTTACCTTGTTCTTGTTTCCTTGTATTTTACAGTAAATATTACAATGTTAGTCCTTGGACCTCTGCCATGTCATTTTTGTTTCTTTTAAAATAAAATCGAAATTGAATTGAATTGAATGACCTTAACCCATTGGCGACTAGGTATCATAACTGGAGTGATAGCTGAGATGTTATGGTTTCATACTCATGGTGATCATACCAGGACTCGCTCACAGGTTCATTGGGCTCCGCAAGATGGGGTAAGTAGATTCCAATGATGCGTATCCATGGTAATGAATCAGTATTGATCGGGTGCTTTTATTCATCTTCCACATTCATATTCCATGTTTAAAAAAATCAAACGTAATACATTTTACAAAATATTGACATTTCTGGAGATAAAACATGTTTGGAAATATGAAAGTATGCACCTGCTTCGTTACTTTATGAAGCATCCGTAGGACAACAACTGATACCAAATCACTCATATCATGATAAATAAAATATAAATCACGACGTGAATGAACTATACGGATGGATATCCCTGCACAGCTTTGACATTACAGCTGCTCTACCGAGGATTCCGAATGATGAAACAAACAAGTATCGTATTAACCATTAAACCTTTAAAGCCTGTCTGCACTAGTTTGGCCAGGAAGGCTCATCAACTCAGCTCTCAAATAACATAAGAAATAGAGGATCATGGGGACCAACGGGCACCGCTCAGGCATTGTTTTCTATATAGAGGGAGTAAATAGCTACAAGTAGTGCAGTGGGGATTTAATATATAAATATGATAACATGCAAACCTACACAATAGCGAACCCTAGCTTTTCTGATACACCTGGCTTTGTGTAAGAAAACATAAAAATAATGCTGACAGGATTTTTAATGTTTTAATTTTTTATTATAAAGAAGAATGCCTGACAAAATATCTACCCCTAAAATGTTTAACTAGATAGAAAATAAATAATTGTAAGTGTGTTTGTTCCTATACAAATTGGTCTTTACCGAGCCATAGAGGATTTTTCTAATGAACTCCGGTGATGAAAACAATGCCTGAACTAAAACTTTGATATTCCTTTTGCGTTTTAGACGTTCCTCCCCCTTCTTTATTATCCGTGATAAAGGAACCATGAAAATTTATTTGTTATCATAAGCTGACAAGATGCGTTACTTATGACGGTATTTTCTGTTATCCTACTATTACTAATGAGAGTTATTTTTGGTCCATCTCCTCTTTCAGGGCTACATTCCTCATCTAATCAGCGCCTTCTCTGAATGGGTGATGAGCATCGCCCTCATGGTCTTCTACCTCACCTACACCAAAGAATTCTGCAACCTTCAGCTTCACGTCATGGTTTCTCAATGTGACCTACCAGATGCTCTCTGGATCACCTGCCGTGAGGTACTCTCTCCACCCATCCGCACCCCTTCTCAGCGCCCTACCAGGAGCCGTGAAGGGGATGATGATGAGGTCCTGGACGCCGAAATGGCGGAGGAGGGCATGGTCCCGCGTCCCTGTTGCCATAGAAACAGCCAGGAGTCGACGGGGTCTCAGTCGACCATCACGCTCCATTCAGAACACTCGCCCCTATGTAAGACGCATACTGAGAAAGGAAAGTTGTTTGTTTGATCCAGAGATAGTTCTTCCAATACGCTATATGGTTCAATATCCCACCGCTGTCGCGCCTTTTGTTCTCACGCGTCAACACGGAGATGCATAGGCTTTCTTTGTTTGCAACATGAACTTAGCAGTGAGAAAATAAACTTTATCTGACTCGTGCTCTATTGACTCAACAGTAAGAGCAATATGACATTCAGTGTGCAACGGTTTTTCTTCTGATGGACGCCATTTTGAAACACCTGTAAGCATGGGCTTTCTTTGGTTGCAGCATGATTTTGTTCCGAGAGGGAGCATCTAGAACGCAAATTAAACAGACTCTAAGTCTTACTATGTTGTGTTGACCTTAGAGAAAGAGCAATAGGACTCCATCGTTCACGTTTGCTAGATGATTGGATTTCTTTGGTGGCAGGCTCGTTGCATTTACTTTTGAACGAGTGTATATACAGCGAGAAAGAAACTGTATCTGACTCTTCCTCTTTAACCCTATTTGGCCCGGGGGGGGGGGGGGCTTGAGAAGCCCCCCCTCGACATTTTTCGCGATAATTTTTTAACGCAAGAAAATCTTGCACTGAAATTTTGTGACTTTTTTCTTTCGAGTCTTGCGCAACTTTTGAAAGAAATTTTTCGAAAATCGGACCTACCATTACAAAGTCACGTGTCCTTTTGTCTTCGCATGTCAGCCCGAAAATCGCTCATTTTTGTGATTTGTGTACAAAACATATGGAAATCTCATTTTTCAAATAAAGAGGTAAAACATTGGTTATTTGGTCTTGTTTAGATTTTAGGTGTTTATTTTGGGGTCAAAATAGTTGAATTATAGTTGGAAATGAAATAAAACAACAAAAACAATGAAATACATAAGTTAAAAAAACAAAGAAATACATAAGAAATTATCAAAACAATAGATAACATAAGGAATAACCCTGGTTTTTCAAATTTTTGTGTTGTATTATTATTCCAAATGGTCTAACAAATATATATAGAGAGAAAGAATGCTTAAATATGAATAATGTCTGATTTATGGGCAAAAATGTGAATTTAATGACCTTATTTGCATAAATTACCATAAATATGCAAATAAGTGAATTTTTCAAAAAAATTGAAATTACCATAGTATTCTATACACTTCACTTGACATGTATGCAAATTTTCGCGGCGATCGGGCGTTTCACGGCCGAGATCATAGGGGGGGGGCCTTAGAAGCCCCCCCCCCCCGGGCTATGCAGTTTCAAAATAGCCCGCGCTAAATAGGGTTAAGTTTGACACTAGAGAAAGAGTGATGATTATTATGCAATCTTCACTTTGACTAGATGATACATTATCCTCATCGCTGGTGGACGCTATTTTGAAACGGGTAAGGGTAACTATGTTGGCAACGCTCTCTCCGTTCTGATTAACAGACAACATGGAAGTGAAAATGACATCATATTTTGCATGTAATATAACATGTTCTAAGCTATGTACTGTACGTGATATCCTAGCATGAACCAAAGCAGTATACACCGAGAGATAAGAGGACAATGCTGATCATAACATACATTTTTGAACGATTATAAAATTACGGAGGATTTTTTACCATCGTGCTTTTGGAAGAAAGAAAAATGGAAGCGCGTCTCTTTTGAAAAATGCTGAAAACATGGACAGAGAAAAAAAGACGCTGGAAATGTATGGAATATTCTCATCGATGATCTTAGTAGAAGGATGTGCATTAGAATGGATAATGTTGGATTTCGTCGTGTATTAGAAGCTGATTATGCGGCTAAGTTATAATCTTTTGAGGCAGATGGGGACGAGCTCCTTTATTTTTCAACCTACGTGACTAAACCTTGAACAGTTACGCATCGACTTACTTCGAGATTTGATTGAGACAACTGATGATTTAAATACAAATGAATTTGCCGTAATTTGGACACGTGGGAGCTTTAACCTTCCAATATAATATGATTGAAGTTCAGCTAGTTCAGGTTATAAAGGAGGACAGTTTCGACGCTGAGTTCAAGAATCGGACAAGCCTGTGCAAATGATGTCACTTTAATTAACCGAAATTATAAGTGCGCTTTCATGAAGTAGTGAAAACGAAATGATTTCGCCTTGCAATGTTAAGCTTCTTTTAAAATACACATTTGTATTTTGTTTTCACCCCTGTTCACGCATTACGCATGGAAATTTAAATCATGTACATGTATTTTCAATGCATAATGATATAATAATATCACATGAGCGTCTAAATCTATCTTTTATTTGCACAACATAAGAGCCAATCAACAAACAAAAACAGGAACATGTAAATAATATATCACCATGGGAACCTAAATCTTGAAACAAACAAAGTATTTCGTTCTTTCAAATATCATCTGCTGATATTTACTAGTTCGAGTAGCATGATTATGAATGTTTAAGGCATTAACTCTTGAATGCAGTATTATACATTATGATTATGTGCCTTTTTTGTAGAAATCGAAGTGCATATTTATAAATGTGTCATTTACCATATTAACCAATGCAGTATCATTATGCAATGATCATGAGTTATATTTTATAATATATTTTGTAATATATGTGTTTGTAAATATGAATAATCTGTCGAGTGTATATCTTTATGAGAATATCATATTTGTAGAAAAGTGAAAAGCTACTTGAATTGAATTATGAAAGAAAAACGCTTATTAAGGCTCTTTCTGATAAGACGTGGTGAACCGTTACGGAATTTCACAAGTGTAAATGAACGGTGTCTGCAAGCAACTAAAGCCCTATGACTATTTTTCTTAGCTCTGTGTTTTAAAGCGAATTACACCTTACGTCATAGTTTAAAAAAAAACGTTGTTGACCGCTTCATATTTAAACGAGGCTTGAGTAAGAATTATATATACGTGTGACCTGTATTGTAACCAAAAAGGGTAAAGTACAAATAATTAAGCGCTATTTGCAACGGCAAAGATATTTTGTGGTCATATCTTACGTGGTCAATATTTGTGATTACGTCATTCAAAACGGGCACCCCGAAACGCAAGCATTTTCTTTCGCTGTTCATTGGCTATTCCTCCTTCAATTGTATCTAAACGTATTTTTTATAAATAATTTGAATGCCGAAAAAAAGAATATAATAATATGTTCTTAATTCTACAGAATTAATGGATTGCTTGAAACATCCATTAGCATACTTAGGGTAGAATTTTCTCTCATAAGGTAAACTTGTGAGGTGTGAAATGGCTTAAGGCTTGACATTTTTCTTCATTTTATTAGGTTAATTGGCGCAAAATGGTCCTGATGTATAATTGCACCCAGCGGCTATGCCTTACATCATGGACCTACTATACTTAGATTGTCTCATGATGTTAGAATTAATCGACCTTTTGATCAAGATTGATATCAGGGGGCGTTTCACAAAGAAAGCCATTAGCATCTTTGAAAATAATTTGTAAAAGTTATTTTAAAAGGCATAAAATGTTATTTCAAATCATTCATTATTTGAATAATCAACGAGATTTCTTGTTCTTGATGTGTCATGTATGAAAAGTCTAAAATACTTGAATTATTTTATTTGAATATATTTTATTTTAAGGCTACAAATGGCTTTCCATAATATTTAAGTCCAACTTGGAGATGAGTTCGACTGAAGATCTTTGTGAAACACCCCCTGATCTTCTAACAACATTACAAACACGTTTATAGAAAGGAGAGAAGGTATACAATATTGTGTATGTGTTAATATATTTGACAGTGACGATTCTGTCTATTTTCAATTTTGTGTAAACATCCGCCATGATCATCCGCTAGTAATCTTGTTATAACATCCACAATGTTCAAAATAATTTCATAGTAGATTTAGATATATCTTTTACGTATTCTATATATCTAGTACCTTGTGGTAACATGTATGCTCCAATTTCAGCTCTTCATATCAAATTAAAAGAATATGTTTACATTATTTTTTTAAACTGTACATTCAAAGCTGTATTTTGTGGTGTTATAATAATAATAAATGTTAGATAGATTTATTTAATTTCTTTTTGTGCACGCAATAGGAATTATTCGTGATAGAAGCCCATTGTTCTTTGAAAAACTATCATAATGTTTGGTCTAGACCGATAAAGAGTCTCTAGAGAGAAGCAGTGAGGAATATAGAGGTTTGTTAACTGAGATCGGTATCACTAGCAAAGTCTGACAAAGCACATCCTTTCAATAAATGAACATGAGTTATTTTCATCGCATTTCAAATTTAAATTTAAGTTTCGCTTGCCTTCTCGAATCATTTGAATGATATAACATGATTTAAAGAAATATCCATATTGATGTTCTTTCGTGATGTTTACGTAATTTCAACATAATCTGATATCCACTGAAAAGGCGATATTTTTGTTTCACCCAACTACCTCAGTTGTATATTATTCTAGGAGGTGATTTAAGCGTTTGCTACCAAACTCTCTTGTTGATAGTTTTAATCACTATAAACGTTTAAAGTCGTTGATTGAAATGTTTAGTACGCTGGATTAAACCCTTATAGGTTTGATTCCAGCATATTAAAAGCGTCGAGTGGATATGTAACCGGACTGTGGATCACAAGGTCCGCGGTTCAAGTGCCGTCGCGGCACTAATGTCCTTTGGCAAGACATTGATCTACATTTGCCACTCTTCACCCAGGTGTTAAAATGAGTACCCGGTAGGATGCGAAAACTAATGTGGTTTGATTAGCAATGGCGCTTGTAAAATGGCGACTGGCTGGAATGCTCCCCAGGGAGTGGAAAATGTGCATACATTGTGTTGCGGGTAAGCCTGAATCCGATGACCGGGGTAATAATATGTTCCGCGCCTAACAAAGTATTAGGCGCATTATAAATGTGAGCTGTTATTATTATTGTTATTATTGAAACTCTACCATTTTGAAAATGTTGTCAATCCTCGGCAATTTTAAATGTTGATTAATCATTCAAGCTTTTTTGTGCATAAACGTGTTATAACCGTTATACTGAGATAAAGTTCATTAAAAAATATCTAAGAATGGTGAATAGCTTATATTGGATGTAGTAATCCCTTTAGCAACTCACTCATGGAACTATACTCGGATGGAGTAATTATCCATTAGCCCTTCGAAGAACATTTTGGTTCAAATCCATTTTTCATTCACAAGTTCATGGACAAGTAAATGCACTATTTATCGGGGAATTCCTTGCCCCAAGAAGAAAATTGTTTAGATCAAAATTCTAATTTGATTGTCATAAATAAGGTTGATGATCTGCCAAGAAATAGGTATCTTTGGTGTTGAGGATATTCTTAGATTAGCATCATTCCGACGAGGGTGGTTGACTTCTCTTGACTTCTCTACCGTTCACTTTGTGGAGGTGTCGTGGCATACACTCTGAATATGACGGACAAAGAAAGAGGACAAGATATACAGTTCCTCATTCTACCCTCAACAATTGCTGGGGTAGACAAAGGAACATCCCTTCACTACTATTGTGTAAAAATGTGTAGAACAGGTGAATATGCATGTGACACCTGTTCTACACCTTTTTTTTAGATAATAGCAGTGAAGGGATGTTCCTTTGTCTACCACAGCAATGAGGAACTGTATATTTTGTCCTCTTTCTTTGTCCGTCATGTTCATAGTGATAGTGGTTCATTCACTAGACTCTCAACCCAAGGGATTCAGGGTTCGAATCCCAGCCCGGCAATAACGTCCTTTGGCGAGATATTATTCCGTATTTGCCACTCTCTACCCAGGTGTATTTCCTGGCGGCAAATGCTTGGGTAACAAAAGAAACTGCAGGGAACAAAGGTAGATCAGAACATCAGCATTAATACTGATGAAGCTACCCTGGTTGAATCAGAACCAATGAATATTATTGTAACTATTAGTATTATCATTAATACTCTTACAATACTCTATACAAGTTCGGTTAATGTTTCAAGAAATAAAAATGACAAGAACACCCCTCCCGCTCCCCACCCCCAGGAAATACTATTGTAATTCAATGACCTAATAATGGCGTTACTAATGCCATGACCTGTCATGAAAATTAAGTGACCACATGCGACAATATTCTCCTTTAAAAATGATTTTTTTTTTTCGGGGGGGGGGATATAGTCTTCAAAAAGCATTATTGTGAATATTGTGAAGGCAAAACTTAGTTTGTTTCCAAGAATAGATATATATCTTTTTTATGCAATTAAACATTTATTCTCCAGGTATTTTGTAACTTGCGCCTTGCAGTAGAAATATATTATGAATTCAATTCAATGTGAATATTGGTATTTGATAAATATGTATATTTTATTAAAGTATTCACTCCAAAGTGCCCACTTTAACAACAGAAAAGTGTGCTTTCGTTTTTATTACACCAGTCCTGTGCTTTGAAAAGTTGTTCACTTGTTCGAAAGGACAAGATTATACTAATTTATTAGATGATCATATATTCCCGAAATAGTTTATTTCGTCATATCATTCTAGACATATATTCGTAAATCCAGCTATGAGTAGGCCTAAGTGTATTTCATATATTTTATTTTGATGGTTTTTATTTTATCATTCATTACTGCAGGGTCATGGGGTCGAGTTACACTACATTTAAAGGCACACTGTCCTACTTGTAGCTACTTGCTCCCTCTATATAGAAAACTTCCTCAATCGGTGCCTGTTGGTCCCCCATGATTATCTTTTTCTTATATTAAATGAGAGCTGAGTTAATGTGATAGCCACCTGTCGCAGTGACCTCGCTGGCTCGCTGGGTGGTCTAAGCCCTTCTAGCTGAAGTAGTAAAGCCTGCCTCTAAAGATACTGTTGAACATTACCGGTTTTGCATTCCATGCAATGTATCGTAATTAATTAATCATTAATTTACTGCTTTTGGAAACATATATATATATCAAAATAGAAAAATACAAATAAATATATAAATAAATATATAAAAAGTAATATGTAATCATAGGCGTGAGACGGAAGGATGACACGGGGAAGGACATAATGAACTTCTACTATTTATTAGACAATTCAGCTTTCAGCTTTTTGGCCTTCTTCAGGTTGTGAAGATGAACATAAATATGGCATTTATAAATATATTTCTGTAATCACATCGATGTGAACATAAACATAATTTATTGGAGGCGCGATGGCTCAGTGGTAGAGCAGTGGTCTCATTACCGGGAGCTCCCGGGTTCAAAGCCAAGTCGATGCTCTATTGCCAATCGGTAAGGCATTATTCCTCATTACCAAGTCCCTCTGAGAGGAGTTAAAGCCATCGGTCCCCTGGGGCCTGTTTTTTCGAAACCAACGACAAGACAGTCATAACTTCATCCGCCAACTACGGAGATGTCTCTGATCTTCCTAAACCGTTTCACGAAGAGCTTACAAGCTAGACATATCGTGAAATCGATACTATCTGCACGAAGAGGTGCCGAGACATAGCCTTAGTCGTAATTCCACTCGATCAAAACAAATTGAAGGGAATCTGTGTAGATTATACAATAAAATTACTATAATACAATCGTGAGTATTTCATTTCAAGACCGTTGAATCAGAATTGTTTTTTGGATGGGCACCCCCGAATAATTGCATTTGATACTAAAAGGGATAGTTGAGTTCTGTTGCAGAGGGCGCTACACAAAATAATGTTTTTGTGAGATAATGAAAATCTGAGTGTCAAAATATGTTACAGAACATAATTTTTAAATGACAAAATCATCTTTGTTTGATCAAAATTTGATCCGTAAGGACTCGTAAGAAAAGTCCGTGTATGTGAAGGGGGTATAAGCAATCTAACATCATTATGTTTGTAAATTACTCAATAGTCCTAAATCATTTTTATCATTAATGTATACATCACTGACATTGCTCTTCCTCCTTTCTATCATATGACAAGAAGGATATTATCATTAAATCACATATGACTGATTTGAAACGAGTCGATGATTGTTGTTTAGTTTCGAAAGACAAAGAATTTGGGAATATCAATTATCGAAACTCATCATTTGAAGCCTGATATTCACATCTTCCATTCCATGATTTTAAAGCTAGCCTAAATACCAACCTTTCACACAGTTAATTAAAAAGGTATTTCTCAAGTTAATCATGTATAGGGTTTACAGACAATTTACAGAGCGCTGTAAGAATGTCAATTATTTATATATTTATTAGCCTTTCTGTTATGTGCACATTAAGCAAAAGTAATTCAGGATTATTGAGTAATGTAACGAAAAACTTGAATCTACTTTTTTTCAGGGACAACATAAACAGTGAAGTTTATGCTTTAAGAAAAACGGTAATGAATAATAATAATCTATAATAAAGTATGTTTTTCTTAAAAAATGGAAATATCTCTTCTCTAAGTAATACACGACAAAGTATCATATAAACAAACTATTCTGATCATGAATACTTCGATGATGTACATATAAATTGTACATATGTCATTTCGTCATTGAATTGTATATAATAATACATCGAACCAATTAATAATTATTTTTGTAAATCATGTTACCATCATCATCATCATCATTATACGTTTTTCTTCAAAAATGGAAAGACCTCTTCTCTGAGTAATACACCACAAAGTATCATATAAACAAAATATTCTGATCATGAATACTTCGATGATGTACATATAAATTGTACATATGTCATTTCGTCATTGAAATGTAAAAATATATCGAACCAATTAATAATTTTACAAAAAATCATGGTACCATCATCGTCATCATTATACGTTTTTCTCCAAAAATAGATAAACCTCTTTTCTGAGTATTACACCACAAAGTATCATATAAACAAACTATTGTGATCAGGAATACATCTATGAGGTACATATAAATTGTACGAATGTCATTTCGTCATTGAAATGTAATAATACATCGAACCAATTAATAATAATTTTTTTTAAATCATGTTATCATCATCATCATCATTTTACGTTTTCTTCAAAAATGGAAAGACCTCTTCTCTGAGTAATACACCACAAAGTTTCATATAAACAAAATATTCTGATCATGAATACTTTGATAAGGCACATATAAATTGTACAAATGTCATTTCGATTTGTTACTTTATTCGACGTTAAATTCTTTTGAAATGTGTAACATTTGCAATGTTCTGTTTGTTATATATTTGTAAACATGCAAAATAAAAGGGAAATCAAACAGAAATAAATAAATCAAGTCAAATCAAATCAAATCATCATTATACATTTTTCTTCAAAAAGGGAAAAACCTCTTCTCTGAGTAATACGCCACAAGTATCATATACAAAAATGTTCTGATCATTGAATGCTTTGATAAGATTCATATAAATTTTACAGATAATTTTTTTTTTCTTGAAATATAATAAAGATGATAACAAATAGCAATCACGTGGTTGCCCTAATATGTGGTGATGTGGTGCAAAATGCTCGGGATCAGGAAAGGGGGTTCAGCCAACACCAGCCCACTCCTCCCCTGCATAGTATTCCACGCTAACATAATGTTCTCTTAAAACCTTATTCTTGCTTTAAAAAATATTGAATAAAATGCCTCTGTGTTTGGTGCCATCTTCTGCATCCTTAGGGAGACTGACGGCAGCATCATTGTTGGTGGAGAGCAACATCATCGTTAACCCTAAGTATCTTTGCTGGCATCAGTTGAATCGATAGTAACACTAGCGGTGTCAGCATCCGTGGTGGAGGAAATACCATCACCTGTCTCAGTGACATTTGTGACAGGTGTATCAAGAAGGAGACTGACCGTCACGACATCGGTGCTTGTTGCATCACGATCCGTGTCCTTCTTCTGTTCCTCGGTGGAACTCTGGATATCTTTGTTCATTGGTGGTGTGACTTCTTCCTCAACCTGGCTAACGTCATAGGTCGGATTGAACATACACATAGAATCGGGATCGTCTTTGGTAGGCAACAAGTAACTACCCGAGGCTCCTGGGCGCAATTTGCTTATCATGCCAGATGACGAAGATAGCGCCGTCGAACTCACCATATCGCTGGAAGTGCTTGCTTCTTTCTTTAGGAACTTGTCGAAACAAGTTAGCCCCCATTTCTTACGGATGAAAGGCTTCCGGACGCAGTAGAGTAGAAAGATGAACAATCCTTGGAAGGAGTTCAGGACGACGAAGATTGGTTGAGCCACCTGTTAAACGCAGATGTTTCATAAATAATAATTAGGTTTATGGCATTCTCTCTCATGTTCTACAAATACTTAATATCTAAAGAGGTATTGCTGGTGTATCTAATCATTATAACTGATTTCTCAAGATACTTTTAAGACGAGATAGATACCACGCAGTTGCCTTTACCTGACTGAATAGCGGGATTAAAAGAAGATATCCGGTGATCCAGGTCAGCCCGAGCAGGAACAAGATGCAGATTGCGTTCTGGACGCGTTCGATAGTCTCTCGACGTTCTGCCTTAGCCTCTCTTTTCACCCGACCAGCGATGTTAGCTGACCGGAGCAATTGTCGAACCACCAGGATGAAGATGACAATGTTGATAAGGAGGATGATGGCCATGGGAATCAAGAGACCACCGATTTGAGCCCAGAATTGTAGAAAGCATCTATCGATAGTAATATGCATTTTGTAAATAGACTGAGTTAAGTCAATTGATACTATCTAAGTGATATTTTTTTTTCCATGGTCCTTGAAACATTTTATCGTAAATGATTTCCCATTATATAGCTTTCCTGTTCCAAACGTAACCTACAATATCCAAGATTTTAGTATGTGTGGTGAGTGTATTCGCTTGGTGGCCGTCCTCAAGCTTGGATCACACCACATACCCGCGAACGTGATACTTAATTACCAATTCCAGATCATAATTACAAACTTGCTAACTTATGAGATACCTAGATACCAAATGCCCCAAAACCAGAGTAAATAACAATGATAACAATTTATTAAAAAAAAGGTTCTTATAAAACATTTTCCACCGAAGTCTCTAAGCGCTAAAGGCAAGCCTTGCCCCGGGGTTGCATCCTTCTTGATCAATGCAACCCCTGCGCCAGGTAAGAACCATGATGAAGTACAGAAACGTAATTTGCTGATTCCGAAATTTGAAGATCATTAGGTATACCTAATGATATATGCAATCCAATATTCCAACTAAACTTTCAAACATTACCACTTACAGATCATCATGAGCATAAGAGTCTCTAGCAATAGCTCCAGTAAGAACCACGATAAGTGCAGGAATTCCTGTAATGACATACGTGTATAAAGAAATTTACACAAACATGACTAAAAATACGAATTCATGTGCACTGTTGGACTATAATCCGTTCTAATGTGATCTTTCCATAATTATTCTCCATTTAGTTAGCATGGCTAAATGAATATAATATATCCTGCCAGCGCTCTTGAATTATTTTGTTAGTTAAAAAGCAGAGAAAATTAACGATTACCTTTTTATATGAATATTAAAAGACAGAATTACATTTGTTTGCCCATTCATCATTGTTTGTATTGCTGAAGGTTTATCGTAGCAAACCAGGTTGTCACACTTTGCCAACTCATTGTTTTATGCCTAATTTCAGTACCTAAGTGTATGAGTATAAAGAAGTTTGTCGGAGGATTCTGATTTACAGACATTATATCTGTTTGTAAAAACATGCAGACACTTCATGTTAATGGTAATCACTATTCCCAGTAAAAAGATATAAGGAAAAAAATATCGTACCCCACGCAGCTAAGAAAGCCTTAATCATGAAATTCTGGATGTAGGTGTTAAAGATCTTCACAATAATGAGGTAGGTATTGTACCCTTCCACACCCATCCATGCAATAGAGGACAAAACGAAGTAGTGAACTAGGGCCGTCAGGAACCCGCAGGGTCCAGCTTGGACCTCACGATAATCTCTAGTAGAATCCAGAGAGATCATGATGACAAATGTCGTGTAGAGACATAGCAATGTCAGGCACAGACAGATGAAGATCTTGTTAGTCTGCTTGGTCCTCAAATCCCTATCAAGATTGCAACATTAAAATAAGGTTAGGAAAGCGTCGAAGCAATATTGTACCAAACATGTACAGGTTTACCATCACCTGATTGGCAACACAGAAGAAAAAGACAAACAACAAGAAAAACAAACTGAAATTGAGGGGAAATGTTTGTAAAATGAAGGAGATTACGTGATTGTGCTTTACTTATGTATCTCTTTTATTAATGTGCACAACCCTCAGAATAGCCACGCATGTTAAATATAAAATAATCTGAGTCGAACTATTCAGGACGATGCAAAATTGGAAAGTAGTAAGCCAAAGATGTTCGAAATGAATATGCCTTTTATACCATGCAAACTGCACACTAAGAGGCAAAGGATTTGATCTACGAAGTTATTAGAGTATCAATGTAGAATATATATGAACAAATTAATATTAATTGTAACCTATTTAAGACCCTCGTTACTCATCCCTTACATCACCAAGCAACCAATGATATTATGGAAGTTTCTCTTCTTCTTCTTCCATTTCTTCTCCTTCTCCCCCTCCCCCTCCTCTTCTTCCGTCTATCATGACTTGTACATTACTCCAAACAGAAGTGAAACCAAGCAGAACTGTCATGCAGGTTTATACGTATTTCATCTCATTTGATCAAGAGATACTTTTATTAAAAAGGTGGTTATTTTAAAATGCATGATTATTTAATGAATCCTAAAAATGCATCTGTTTCATAGTTTATATACCTATTCCACGTTCAAAACCTTCCAAATAAAATTGAAGATAAAACGACAAGAGACTAATTACGCATTTTGTCTCCATTGTGTTACATTAATGATTGCATTATTTCTTCTTAATGGGCTCACTTGTTCCACAGGTAGGTTGCCAATGTGACAAGAAGACTGAAGATAGAAATACAGCATCCGATGTAAGTCAGGATGTTGTATGCCTCGATTAATGAATCCTCCTGTCCATGGATATCCTGTAACATGAAAGAAAATTGAGCCCAAACTGAAACATTTACTTCAAATGCTCAAATAAAACTAATTACTTTACCATTAGCTGCCATATAGTCTCTGTGTCGTTAATTGAAAACTGAGAAATGTGGGTTTTATTATGATAGAAGTGGTGGAACCTTGTATTAAGTCATTTACTACCTTTCAATCGAGACAAGAATGTTAATATTATTCATACCCAGTTGAAGACCAGCTATATACTCCATCGTTCTTCGGAAGTAATGGGGGAATTGAAAAAGAGGGAATTGTATAAGGGGAAGAGGTCGAATAGTGACCGCTTGTCCACAAACACTTGGTAGTATTGTTACACCTGTCTGGAAAGAAACTAGCTAGTAGCCGTTTCCATTCGCACAACCGCAGGCGTGATATACTGTCTCCCACAATATAGTATATAGACCATACTATTTAATCTGTAGGCCCAAGGAGTTAGTAGGACCAACTATACCCGTCGGTCATCCAGCGTATTATCACGCTATATAGCTCTAGGTAACCTACTGCGTTTAGTTAGTCGGGTTATAGTGGTCGGGGTAGTAGTTAAATGGTGATTATGTATATGAAAACTGCCTAATTGATTTTCACTGACCATTAAAACAGCGAAGTTGGTAAGATGATCACACGCACAGCGCACGATCTCCTCATCAGAGCGATCATCGGATGATGTGATTCCAGAAACAAGAACACACCCATCTTGGGACCAATCTTCCTGCTCCTCATCCCAAAATGAACACATGGGATTCACGTATCCAGGCTAAACAACAATAACCAAAAAATAGCAAGAAATGCATATAGACCCATAATAAAATTTGTTAAATAAGGCATAAAGGAATAATGAATGATAGTTTTGATTGGTTTACTTTAAAGCCCATTTATCATTAGGGGAATCAAACACAAGAGTGAAAAACGAGTGAAAATAGATTGAAATACATATAATGTTTACATTTTTCCCTATATATGTACGTCTTCAAATAAAATTATCTATGAATACTGCTAAAGGCAGATTGCAGTATAATACGTATACTATGTTAAAAAACGTTATTATGACATTTATTGTAATAGGTCTTACCATAAGTGTAGTGAAGGTAAAGTTGATGAATTCGGTCAAGGCTGCGACTTTCCCTTGACCAATACTGAGAGATATCACGGGCGAGTTAGCTGATCGATTGAAGCCTTCATTATCTGCACTGATTGTGCGCAATGATTTAGAAATGAACAGGGCTGAAGTTGAAAATATATTGAAGTTGACCCGAACGTATTCACCACTGCCATTCGACGGCGATCCTGAGAGTGGGGCCGTGGACGAAATGACGGATGCAACTGAAGGTGGAATGTTGACCTGAGCGATGATGCCTGGTCTCGTAGCAATGACGTCATCGCGGTCATCTTGGGTCGGAGCATTGATGGTAATATTGGCCTTGGTCAGGTCTGAAAGACCGGATCCAGCTAGCGAAAGCACAAGACCACGCATTACGTCGCCAGCAGATACACTCTGGACCTGTTGTGTGAATTAGGACTTCAATTATTATTACTAGTATTATTATTGTTTTTATTATTACATTAATCATCATCATCATTGTTTCTTATATTGCTATCATTATTATTGTATTATAATTTTTATGTATTTTAATTTTGTTGTATTTACAAAAATATCAATATTATTAATTTATCATTGTTATTATTATTATTATTATTATCATCATTATCATCTGAAAATATGGAACTGGGAGAGGACACCTTTGTTCATCCAGAGCCTTCGCTTTGAAATATTCTCCATTGACAAATTCGTAAAAGCAGATCAGTTGAGGTGTTCAAAAATAATCTAAAATCGTTTCTATTTGGATTGAAATATAATTAATTATTCCCTTTATTTCATTTGTATGTAGTTTGTATGAAATTAAAATGCTTCTATGTGACTTCTCCTTCGCAATAGTGCACCTTGAGTATTTGATTTCAAGTGGCTTTGGCGTCTTACAAATCGAATATTATTATCATCAATAATCTATTTTATTATTAATTTGATTATTGTTTAAATATTTTTTATTCCATTAGATAAATTGGTGTCATTATTGTCACGATTATCATGATTTTTGATATTGATATTTTTATTATCATTATCATAATCGTTGATGATGATTGAAAATGAAGAGATTAGCACCATGCACATAAGCTCAAGTAGAGCATCCCACAAATTCAAAACATGAAGAATCCTGCACACATACATGCAGAAAATAATAATGATGTTATTTGGCAGATATTTTTAAAACTACACAACTGCATACAGACAAATTGTGAAATTGTCGCGCTTTACTGGACACCAGATTGAATGGGACCACAATGAATGAATGACAGTGTCAAGTGTTGTTTAATTTTTTTTTTATCCATGCAAACAATTATATATTAACTTGGAAGTGAAATTCTATATTTTAGTATACTGGTGGATATCTAATAAATGTTATCGTAGCCTATGATATAAATGTAAAATCACCTGTACGGCTACATTTGGCTGCTGAATGTTGAGCATCCCACCATCGGCAACCTCAACACGACTGATTTGCTCCTCAAAAGCCTGGATAAATTTACTTATTGCCCCACCGTCTTCCTCTGCGGCTTCAAGTTCCTCTGTTTCTACCTGAGCTATATTGCTCACAATACTCGTTATAGACTCTGTTACCTGTCAATTCAAACACAAAGGATGACGATGATTTTAGCTATAGCAGGAGAAAGTTGCCAAATCTCGGAAATAAAACTGAATAACGATAGGGTATTAAATAACATGACAGTCTTAGCACAGCTCTTCTTTTAAAGCTGTTACACAACTTCTGGATGAAGCAACTTTCAAGGGGTTAAAAAGATATGAAAGGACAATGAGAGACTTAAATCTGTCATATCATAATTAAGATATTATACAAAATTAAAAGAAAAAGGGCCTGTACGGGGTAAGGCTCTGGTAAATTCTTCATGCATCGTAGTTCAGCTTCAAGGCGTCCAATATTGTTCAAAACCGGTTATAGGATTTACCTTTTTACATCTTTAACAATGCCATACATGGTATTGGAGGGAAGGCTCCAATTTTTGTACTATTCGATGATTATCAGAACCTAATAAAATTCATCAACCATCGAAAATTCATGTTCAATAGGATTGGTCTGGCATCGTTCAAAATACCTCTTCACTAGTAAGATTTTGCTGCACAATGTTTGATGTTATCTCTGCCACAAACGTGATGTCATCTGATGTGATATCTTCGATGTTGGAAGTAACAGACGATACTTGTTGGCTCACTTCACCTGCATTTTCTTCACCTACGATTACCTAAGATTTGAGTAGAAAACTTCTTTTATTTAATACTATTTTATGGTTTTAAATGCCGTATTTAGAGCTACCGAATGAAGATAAGTAGGCATGTTGCAAGTGCTTCAATTTTAGTATTGTCAATGAATATGAATAAAAAATCGTCCAATACATAATTCCTTTAAAATAATCAGTATAATTGATTGACCATGGGCTATTTATTACCTGTTAGGCATGATTTTTATAGTTTTCAAATGTAAAGTAAGGATACACTTTGAAAGAAGAAGATGAGTGAGAAAGAAACATTAGTGTTTATTTTGTAAAAATGACGTACCAAATTGGGTGAAATATATGCAATGATAGGTCAACTTATATTTAAAAAAAATAAATATATCACATTTTTAAAGGTTGTAATGATCAGTGGTATCTAAAATAAACTAAACACAATGACATTACATATTAAGATTATTAAAAACAAGCCTCTTTTCAATGTTCGAAATTTGAAAAGAAAATTCCAAAAACCTGTGCAATTTCTGTGAGAATATCTGTGACATTTCTAAATGGTCCACAATTATCCACAGGTTGCCACTGGCTCTGGGTAATACCATCGCCGATACACAGAGCCCGTCCAATCGGTTCATTGACTGTTCGGTATAAAAACAAAATACACATATATTTGTATATATCAACAGAACACTGGCAAACAGTTATTACCAGATACGAAAAAGGAAGGGGATATAAATGTAAAGAAAAACTGTCTATGATAGAAATGTCCTCAAGTAATTCATGATTCTGGAACTATTCAATACATTCATCAACACGCGCGGATCTAGAATATTATTTTGGTCAGAGGGCTGGGGGCTTGGGGTTTCTGCATTCGTTTTCTACGTGACCCTCGCTTTAATTAATTTGTATTCATGAACGCAGTTTTGGGGCTTGAATATCTATGGGTAGGAGCTTTTAGACCCTATGCCCCTATCTTGATTTGCTAGTGTTCAATAATGAAGTGAAAACAAACTACATCGAAATAATATCGCTAGTGATATTCGTTTGTCTCGCAATGTATGGTCAAAAAGGGATCTAAAAGATCACGACGTTTCGTGCGCCGCTGCAACACTTCGTCAGGTGATAAAATCTAATGTAAGCAAGCGTGTTTTATACTCTACAGGTGGTCAATTAATCCAATCGATAACAACATTGGCTGAACATCCTGATATCAAGGCTATTTTGGAAATGATATTGCGAGTAAATGAGTCTCGATCGCGCAGTAGCCATTCATTAACACGTTATAAAAAGAAAGTAATTTCTTGCTGCGGATCACCGCGCCATATCTAAACTACTTTATAGAGAAATTATCATATTTATCGTGCTATTCAACCTAATCCCCCGTACACTTCCCCAAATCAAATATGAATGAAAGATCATAAAAACCAACCTTGAGTAGTGTTGAATGGACACGCTCCTGTTGAATTCGCCCATGTTCCATTGTCACCCACCGGAAATTTGACTTTTCCAAATCGAGAAGATATCCATGAGATATTCTGGCAAATAGCTACACAAAAAAGAATGAACAAAAAGTATTGAAAAAAGCAGTCCCTAACAAATTTCAATTCCATGTTTGTTTATTTGATTCAGATTGAATTGCTGCAAATCGTGCAGGTATTCTGTTCTCCCAAAAGTGGCCAATGCTAGGGAAGTTTAAACATGCAGCAAATAGGCGACTTGTTTAACTGGCCAATGAGCGATAGTTAAGACGGATAGGTGAGAAGGCGAATTGTCAAAATTCTTCAAGGCCCAATATATTTAGGTAGAAAAGCGAGAAGGAGTGTATAACAACTCACTAAGGCGCCTTTTCGTCTTTGTTTAACAACTCGTCTTTGTGTCTTTTCGGTCTTTAACACAGCACCTTCGTGAGTTCTATCCAATAGTCTTCAAGAATTTGACTAACCCTCTGACATGCAACATATCCTGACATTTTTTCAAACCATGATGATATCTATGGTTTTCTTTGAAGGCGTGACTGTGCAACACCCTCTAACAGTGATTAACATTAAATTTTCCCAACCATTTTAGAATTATCCCAACCGTTTTTACATGAAAAAAGACATAAAACAGGCTATTAAAAATATGTCAACACTTAAATGTCTGGAATGGTATGTAGAGCCATTTTATTGCTTTGTGACGGTTTACATTCACCTAAAATCAAATTAAGTTGCTATAATATAGTTGGGAGAATTATGGAATCGATCGGATCAGTTTTTCCAAATTTGTATCATTAATAATGGTCCGTTTTCACTTAAATTTTCAGGTTATCTTTATTTGTACAGCTAGCGTTGAAGTCATTACCTTAGCACCACATTCTCTCATCTTAACAATGTTACCAAGTCATGGCGCATTATAAATATTCAATATTATTATTATTGTTATAAATTGACTTTCAGAACTAAATGTATATCAATGAATGAAATTATTACCGTTATTTTGAACTGAAATAGTGTTTGAATCGAGAAAACCTTTCGATTCATTGGCTAGACTATCAAGAGATAGACCAATAAGATCTTGTGTCTCCGTTGCCGTCATGTTGGTCTGCTCGATGTAGATATTCATGTCAGCTTTGACGCTTCCTGGTCTTAGGGCTCTGCATACTACTGATAGACCCTCCAACCCAGTACTGGTTCGGAGGCCTTGCTCCACCTTTACACAGATAAAAAACAACAAACAGAAAAGATAAAACGTTTAATTGATATTTCCCCTTCCATTAAAGACTGATACTCTTTTGCAACTTCTTAAAGTGTACGTCATTACCCAAAACCATCCGCAAGCAATATTGTGTTCATACTATTTTCATAAGAGTATACTTGTAATAGAATTGCATTTTTGAAAAAAACTTGAAGAACTGAATGAAGTATCTGTACCGTAAGTACGAAGCGGTGCTATGAAAGAACTGAGATGACCGTTCGAATGTTTGAACGGCTTTTGCTGGAATATAAGTAAGCATATTATGAAGTTTTTACAATCATAAAAAAGAAAGTCGAGTACTTGAAAAGATGACAAGCAATTTATGAGCTTAATCGTTCTGTTGTCTCCGTTTGAACACGTTGGAAGAATGTCATAGGAAAAAGTGTCCCCTGTGAAAAATGGTGCATCTCTGACCAAATTACATGATAGTAATAAAGATCATCACTGACTAAAACCTCGTCGCACATACAACAAATGTATTAAAATGATTAGTCGTACATGAATCTTGTGGGTTCAAACTTGCAGGCTTATCAACAATTCGTCGCTGTTTTCACGAAGTGACGGTAGTGAAAAAAAATTGCATTCACTTTGCGTGACGATTTTCCTCACTACCGTCACTTCGTGAAAACAAGGACGAATTATCTGAAACAAGTATGGTCATAATCGATTAAATATTTGAAAAGCTATTTGTCACAAGGGAGCTCACAGAATTCGCTTTGACCAATAGAATGTTACCCTCGACAGCATCATAATGTGAAGGTCTCCCAAATGCAGATTTTACTCAAGTTTGTTTACAACAGCATTAATGGTTGCTGATCTACATGTATTTGTCACAAGAGAAGCCAAGTTTGCAGGTAAACGGATGAAGAAGGCCTTACTGATCCTTTAGTCTTGTCTCCACCATAAGAAAAACTGAAAATGTTTATGCTATATGTACGTGCAATCAGCCTTTATCTAGTCTTTGCTCGGTAACTGGTTGCACAACGTACTCGCACCTTATAATTTAATTGTATATTTTAGACCCAAAAAAATTATTAGGCCTTGCCTTACAGAATATCACAAGAACGGGATAGGCCTTTCCGGTATGCACCAATTATTTGTAGGGTATACTTACATATGTGCCGATGTTGAGCGCCGTATCTCTATAGAGTGTAGACGTTTGGTCATAAAGCTCATCGCTGAATGGAATGGCAAATCTAGCATTCAAAACCATTATATTGGTCAGATCTGAAAATAACAAACATACACATCGAGAATCAATGGCACAGATTCAGGGGAGGGCACTGGGGAACTCCCCCGGCCCGCAGAGGAGGGGGACATTCTCCTCATGATATTGACATATTGAAACTGGTTGTCCGGCAGTTGTTTTAAATACAATTTTTTTCAAGAGGGCTGAAAGCAAACACATGCAGTTATTAACTTAAAGTAGCTTTCAGAAAATGTCTTTACATACGAATTTCATATCAAATCAGTACTTTTTGAGAACATTTCTCTCATACGTAACACATAATGTACCCATTATAATCACGTTCGTTTTGTAATACGCGCTTGTATGTTTCAATTGCGATCGACTTTTGTTTTATTTCTTATTTTCACGCGTAGCATTAAAAATAAAAGAAATCCCTTTTCTGTACAGAGTCTTTTCCAGACAAAACGAAACCGAGAATTATCGATGTTTTACTATAACTTAATTACAATTATAATTAATAAATGACACATATTCGTAAAGTTTAGATCCTCCTTTCTCATTTGATGCAACTCATATGATGCATATTTCACGCAAAGAGAAAAATCACATTTCTAGGAAGTTCATTTTCTGCCCTTTCATATGACACCTCAATCAGGAAAAATGAGCCGGGAATAACAAAGTTCTGTTCGTTTAAAGTAATGCTTGCATTTCTACAATTTGATTAAACGAATTCGTTTTCACTGGCTGCCTGTCGTAGCAACAAACGGAGTTGACAAAAGACTTAATTCCGTTTCGTTGAAGATCATCCATGCACAAAGAATACGAAAGACTGGCTGATCTTAAACAAGTTAAGTCTTTTGTCAACTCTGAGGAGGATCTAATGCTACGGTCACAAAGGTTCGAAAGAACGATAATAACCTATGAATCTCCCTGTTTTTCCATTGTCTTCCCGAATTTCCATTGTCTGAAAACCGTTCGTACGGCGTTCGTAGCAGTTCGTAATGGCATTTGTGACCGAGGTTTATGCTTTACAAATATGTGTCATTTATTAATTATAATTGTGATCAAGTTATGATAAAACATCGATAATTCTCGGTTTCGGTTTTCTCTGGGACGCACTGTATATACACTTTTTTTCCTATAAAAGTTTGATAAAGACAAATGCAAATAAAGTTTATTTGTTATAAAGTCGATGTAAATGAATTTTGAATGAATAATTTACTCATTATTTGCTAAGTTGCCTAACAAAGACAAAGTTTTAATACTGTTTAATATTGAGGATGTATAAGTCTTTAATAACGTATGCCTGCTAGCTCCGTGCTCCCTTCGTGAAACTTCTCGAAATCACAAAGGTATTCCATGTGTTTCGAGGGCAGAGATGATATCTGGCTAGAGTGCACAGGTTACATTGATTAAAGGCTAGACACAACCTTAGATTATGTTTTTTTTCTGTGATTTGCTTCAAGCAAAGTTTTTACCTTTGACATATACCGATGCTCGCGTCGTGTCTAAAATTTCTTCATTTCTCCCCAAGCCTCGGCAGAAGTAATACCCGATGTCACTGAGCGTGACAGGAAAGATCATCAAAGGATTCTGATTTTCACTGTTAGGCAAAAGGACATCATCTTTGTACCAGTGGTATCGCTTGGCATTGTTGAAACTACATGTCAGCTCCACATAGGCATTGGTGTTGACTATCTGGCTAGACGGATGGACAGAAACCTCCAAAGGAACTATATTCAAGGTAGCAATTAGAACATATGACGGTAAATGAAGTAATCTTGTTTTCAATATTGATGATGATAATGATATGATGTTGACAAAAATAATACAAGCGATAATGATGATAAACATAAGATGAAGAAGGCGAAGAGGAATAAAAAATCTAATACAAATGGTTATAACAATAATACCACTTCTAATTATAATAATACAAATTGAAATATAGCTAATACCCTACAACACTTCTATTCTTAAAAATGATTATAATATCAGTTGAATTTATATATACCAAGGGATGCTCAAGGCACCTACAAAATACTATTATGATTCCTACACTGGCTAGCCTAGCTGCCCTAAGGCCCTGTAAGCATTCAAGTAATACATTCCTAGCATGTTTCAATTTTCTACACCTCGGTAGATAGTGACAAATGTCTTGTCAAAAGACAGTGGTCACAAACCATGCGATCCAAAGGAGGTAGTATAAGCTCCTTGGTGATCCTCAGTCCGGTGACGTATGCACAAGACCATGTTTAACATGTTAAGGAGGACTGGACTTCTTAGATTTAATTCAAAGATTAAGCGAGTAATGGTGTCCAGGCATGATTGCTTTTTTTATATTTAATCCTTTAGGGTTAGGGTTAGGGTTAGAATTAAAGTTAGGGTATGCGGGGACAACTCGGTCCGATATTTGCAGCGGGGCCGAGTTGTCCCCGAGCCAGCCCGGATCCTTTGATATTTATTCAAGTATACAATAGAACGACATGAATTGCGACAACGTATGAATAAAATCCCCCGCCCCTCCCCAGAGAAGGAAAATGTTCTAACATTTTTTGTCATATCCAGGGATGATGTAAAGACATGTGATTTACTTGTTCAGAATTATAAAGGGGGTTGACTCATTTCTGAGGGTAAAACATTGTGTCAAAACACTTTCCAAATGTTGGTTCCTATTCACCCGTTTTTCGAAACGATGTAAATCATGGATCTGCAAGACATAATACCCTTAAGATGTATACAAGTAAATCCAAACATATGACTTACGAGTTGATTCATCACAATGATTCCCCTCATAATGATCTTGGCATTCACACTCGTACTGCCCTTGTCCAATGGGACGACAGACACCGTTGACGCACGGGTTTCGTTGAATGCATGGATCAGCGTTACCTGTCAAAAGTTAATTTTAGTAAAATTGTAGTAGCATAGAACTTACAAATGAATGTTTGCAGTTTTTTATCCTTAGTTTCCTTGGCACCAGCGTCTACACATAGTGTTATGATGTATATACTTTGAGATATCTCAAAGAAGAAAAACATGTGAAGATTCAACCACTGACAGCTCTTAACAAAAGTCACGGGCGACGGAAAAAACCGAGATAACTATATTTTCCCATGGTCTATTTTTTTAAAGGCTCATAATTTCGAAATGATAATTACCCATACCTGAAGGTTCATGATTCTGAAAATTAAATAGGGTTTATTCAACTCAGAAGATTCGTAATTCCGAAAATGAAATGGGGTTAAATATTCAGAAGGTTCGCAATACCATACACGAGATCGGGTTCTATTTTTTATGAAATTACGAACCTTCGGAAAGATGGACTCATTTCATTTTTTTTGCAATTACGAATCCTATAATAATTTCAGAATGATCAACTTTTTTTCTATTTCCAGAGTCTGAACAATTGGGAAAATGCCATGTTGCCAAAATAACAACGCATTTCGCTGGAGTTTATATATGTGAACGTGAATAATATATGCATATTTACATACATACGTACATAATTTTGACATGTCAGTATATGTGTCTTTGCATTGTGAAAATGGCTTCCTAAATTCCCATTCGATTTAGCTGTAACGCTAACTTATTTGACAGTTTGGGCCGATGAATGGATCCATGCAAATACACTGGTAACCGATTTCAGTTTGCTGACAAGTACCTCCATTTATACAGGGTGTTGCGAGACAGGCGTTTTCTGAACACAGACAAGGAAGCAATGTAATGAGTGGGAGACGGAAATAATCATCATAAGACTAATTCCTGAGATCCACGTGGTTGGTCATTTCATTTGAATTTAATGATTAAATGCCCTTCAATAAAATGTTATGTCGATAAATTATAACTATACACCTAGTATATTGAATATTTCTGCGCTTAATTTACGTGGTTATCCATTGCTGTTTGGCATTGGAAATGACATATATCAGGTGTGACAAATTTTCAAGGCTGCTTACATAGGCTATAACCACGTGACATTCAGAGAACCCAAATCCTTAAGTATACAATAGGGTGTCTAGCTTTAAACCCCTAACACAACTTGACCTAACCCGGTGTTGTGCCGGATGTAGTACCTAGTGTGGCTCCCGGTGTTGTTGCAGGTGTTGTAACTGGTGTTGTTCCATGCGTAGTAGCTGGCGTTTGTCCCGGTGTTCTAGCTGTTGTAGATCCGGGGGTGTTGGTTCGAGGTGTTGTGCCTGGTGTTGTTACTGGTGTTGTTGATGGAGTGGTTCGAGGTGTTGTGCCTGGTGTTGTTACTGGTGTTGTTGATGGAGTGGTTCGAGGTGTTGTGCCTGGCGTTGTTACTGGTGTTGTTGATGAAGTGGTTCGAGGTGTTGTGCCTGGTGTTGTTACTGGTGTTGTTGACGGAGTGGTTCGAGGTGTTGTGCCTGGTATTGTTACTGGTGTTGTTGATGAAGTGGTTTGAGGTGTTGTGCCTGGTGTTGTTACTGGTGTTGTTGATGGAGTGGTTCGAGGTGTTGTGCCTGGCGTTGTTACTGGTGTTGTTGCTCGAGTGGTTCGAAGTGTTGTGCCTAGTGTTGTTACTGGTGTTGTTGATAAAGTGGTTCGAGGTGTTGTGCCTGGTGCTGTTACTGGTGTTGTTGCTGGAGTGGTTTGAGGTGTTGTGCCTGGTGTTGTTACTGGTGGTGTTGATGCAGTGGTTCGAGGTGTTGTGCCTGGCGTTGTTACTGGTGTTGTTGCTGGAGTGGTTCGAAGTGTTGTGCCTGATGTTGTTACTGGTGTTGTTGATAAAGTGGTTGGAGGTGTTGTGCTTGGTGTTGTTACTGGTGTTGTTGATGCAGTGGTTCGAGATGTTGTGCCTGGTGTTGTTACTGGTGTTGTTGATGAAGTAGTTCGAGGTGTTGTGCCTGGTGTTGTTACTGGTGTTGTTGATGAAGTGGTTCGAGGTGTTGTGCCTGGTGTTGTTACTGGTGTTGTTGATGAAGTGATTCGAGGTGTTGTGCCTGGTGTTGTTACTGGTGTTGTTGATGCAGTGGTTCGAGATGTTGTGCCTGGTGTTGTTACTGGTGTTGTTGATGAAGTGGTTCGAGGTGTTGTGCCTGGTGTTGTTACTGGTGTTGTTGATGAAGTGGTTCGAGGTGTTGTGCCTGGTGTTGTTACTGGTGTTGTTGATGAAGTGGTTCGAGGTGTTGTGCCTGGTGTTGTTACTGGTGTTGTTGATGCAGTGGTTCGAGATGTTGTGCCTGGTGTTGTTACTGGTGTTGTTGATGAAGTAGTTCGAGGTGTTGTGCCTGGTGTTGTTACTGGTGTTGTTGATGAAGTGGTTCGAGGTGTTGTGCCTGGTGTTGTTACTGGTGTTGTTGATGCAGTGGTTCGAGATGTTGTGCCTGGTGTTGTTACTGGTGTTGTTGATGAAGTAGTTCGAGGTGTTGTGCCTGGTGTTGTTACTGGTGTTGTTGATGAAGTGGTTCGAGGTGTTGTGCCTGGTGTTGTTACTGGTGTTGTTGATGAAGTGGTTCGAGGTGTTGTGCCTGGTGTTGTTACTGGTGTTGTTGATGAAGTGGTTCGAGGTGTTGTACCTGGTGTTGTTCCTCGGGCTGTTTCCGGTGTTGTTCCTGAGGGGAAAAATAAATGTTATAATCATTAATATAAATCTAAACATTTACGTTCTAGATTTCTCCGCTTTAATACAATAGGGTGTCTAGCTTTAAACCCCGGAAACAAAACTTGACCTAACCTGTTGTTGTGCCGGGTGTAGTGCCTAGTGTGGCTCCCAGTGTTGTTCCTGAGGTTGTTTCCGGTGTTGTTCCTTGGGGGGGGGGGGGGGGTGTTATAAGCATTAATATAGAACTAAACACCTATATTCAAGATTTCTGAGGTAAATTTAAAAATGCGATTTTCAATAGCTTGTTCTGTGGGAAAAATGGAGCTATTGGCCTAATAAACACATAGGAAAAGTTTGGTGCTTTTGTAAGCTCTGTCCCCAAAATTCTAAAATATGGGCCTAAAAGACCTGATTAAGGACATATATGTGCATTATAATACATGTTGCAGAACCCCTGATACTATACTCAATGATTCGATCTTGAAAATTGGTGAAAAAGAAGCCTTATTGATATCATAATAGGAACATAGTACCATCCACCCAGGTCAAGAATTGACTATCAAAATGCTGTTGAAAGGTTAATATATAGAGTAACTGAATCAAACCAAGTGTCCATTGTGCTTGGTGGTATTAATTATAATGTGTTTTGTAAAATGGAATCTTAGTTCATTTGTAAACTTTCTAGACAAACTATCATGCAGCAAATGATAGAAATACCCGCTCGAGTTTCCAAGACAAATAGCACACTGATTGATATCTTTGTCACAACTGTTCCTTATAACTTATTTCAAAGTAATGTTTTTCCCCTTGGTCGGTGCTACTATAAACGTGTATATACTTTACGGAACTTATGCAGACACAAGTTCCCCCAAGAATGATTACCTATAGATCTCAAAAAGTCTTCAACAAAAATACTTTTCAAAGGGAGTTGAGTTGCTTGCAGTGAAATTGGTGTCAGCATGTAGAATGACTTTCATTATTCTTCATAACCATCGCTATAAGCAAGAATAGTCAAAATTTTAAATCAATTAGAAAAATTGTTCATGCTTCAGTTGTATACAACGATAACACTATATCATATCGATCTGCTTGAGCTAGATCTTTTCTAATACAAACAGAACCTAATCTAACCTCTAAATTTATAAACATCTTAAAATTATGTCTATAATGCAACGAAATACAATTTCATTGACCTCATGTCCTCTCGGAGTATATGCATGCAAGATGTTGTAACTGACAAATGACAAATAGCTCTCAATAATTTACGTTGGACAACGCCCCATATTGTCGGTGGTCACCCACCTTTATCTGATCAGAATAGGTCGCCAGCTCGCCATCGTCTTTATAACGTGTGTACGAACATTCAGTGTATGAACATTCAGTGTAAGTTTCGTTTGATTCTGTGAGAATTTTTTTTTCTTTAAACCAGAACTCACCTTTATCTTTAACTGAGTACGGATTGGCTTGGACTGCCTCGAAATGGCAAATTTACCCGATCTAAACTTGATATGAACTGACTGTGGACGTGTTACAGACAACGTAATGAGGACTGTTTATGAACGAACAAGGATCGTATTATAGATATTATTTATACTTTCTACCCCGACCACAACCCGTTTTACAATTTTCGAGGACGGTTCCAGAACGGAAGAGAACTAGTTTGGTGTGATGGGGCATAGCTGCTTCTAATTGATGCTCGACCACGGCACGCTGTAACACGTTTCTAGTAGGATCAAAGTACGGCAATTCCGTTCATAGTACGACAATTAGTCCGTCTGTAGTACCTCCCCCTCGTACATTGTCACACCGTCTAATTGCAGGACGGGGAAATTTTTGAACTTGCTCAAAGTTCAAGAGCACTCTTTCGTATAGCCGGTTCGAGCCAATCAATGGAGTTCTTAAACATATCATAAACAATTGCTATTACGTTTAACTCCATTCGCACACAGTTTGAGCCCGTTTGGCGACATTTTCAAGAACGTAGTGAGAACTAGTTCGGTGTGATGGGGGCTTAAGGTCTGTCCAACCGTTTACCCATATTAACATCTCGGCCAGGAAGAGTGTGCCGGTTGCCGCTTCGCATCGTCATTGGGTCAACCCCCCTCCCCCTTGGCAAAAAGCTATCTCCGCCCCTGTTGCCTTGCATTGAGCGAGATTGATTGGAATACTGTATATAATGCACAAGATGTCAATTTGTCGCTACTTGCCTTTGAATCAATGTTTTTCTTTGTGTGTAATAAATATGCCCCAGTTAGGGGAAATAGAGTGAGAAGAAATAAGTCATATTGGATTGATGTACAAATATTGAATTTAATTCATGAACGAAATTATCTGAAAAAGTTGCCAACAAAAGTAAAAGAAAAGAAGGCTGGACAATTTTTAAGAAGATAAAAAATTATTTAACTGCGAGAATAAAATCTGACAAAAGACTAAAGTTGCAAGAGAAAATTAAAAACTCGAATGGTACGTTAGGCCAGACTTGGAAAAATCTTAATCTTTTAATCCCTCGAAAGAAGAGGAGTAACATAATTACATCGCTAATGACGGATTCAGTAGAAATAAATGATGCGCAATTAATCGTCCATGAACTAAATGAATATTTCATCAATATATGACTAGATTTAGCCAATAAGATGATAAGAGATGTCAATGATACTGACTCACAAGGTCACGTGACACCATCTGCGTTGAATTGTCAGTTTGAACTTACTACTGTTACAACAAATAATGCTTCAAAACAAATAAGTAATTTATCTAATAATAAAGCCATGGGAAATGATTAAACTTGCAATATTTTTCATTAAAGAACTATTGAAGAATATAATAAATGTGTCTATAACTTCTGGGATTGTTCCGGATAACTGGAAAGTTGCTCGTGTAGTTGCATTGCATACCGTGGAACAAAAGAAGCTCGTAATTATCGACCAGTTTCAATTCTTCCAATTTTGTCAAAAATTGTAGAAAGAATTGTTTCTGATCGAATTTACGAATTTTTAAACAGAAACGGTATAATTAGTATCAGTCAGGCTTCAGATCACTTCTCTCAACGACCACATCACTATTGAATGTGACTGGCTAAAGAGCATTGAAGATGGAAAGGTCGTAATTGCTGTAATGTAAGATCGTGTGCCCATGCCTTGAGCCATAATGTATGGTCGTACAGAGGATTTTTTTATGTTGGGGACCGGGGTAAAATGGAATAAATTATTGAAAGATTATTGCATTTTCTGTTGTTTTTTTTATTTATGGAAACTGCCCCCTACCCTAGCCCCCACAGCGTACAATCATGGTTCAGTGACAATGCAATGGCCTCGTAATTGTGAGGCCCCGGGATCAAAACCGTGTCGATGTGCTATATTAGTGCCCTTTTGTGGGGCATTAATCCTCATTGCTGTCATTTTTGACCTAAGGGCGTAGGTCCCCTAATTGATAAGCATAGTATCATACACATGCTTTAGCAGTCACGCAAAACAAACACTGGCGAATTATTATTCAATAAAGTCTGAGAATGTATACTATTATCTAGATCTATTAGGAATAAATCATTGTCAAAATAATTCCATAAATTGGGGTAAAAAAAAATATTCCAACTATATGAACGACAGTGTATGTTAACTATATTTTACACTATATTTTATTATAATATATTATAATTATATCATATTTTAGCATATTTTATAATATTTATGTCGTAGTTATAATTCTTTGGAATTTCTTTATAATATGTGTTTTAAAACCAACTCATAACAATCTTTATATTTACGTATACATACATACGAATTCATATAATTTATCTCTACTCGGTGTGTCATCACTTATACTACCATTTTGTTATTCTTGATATTTATGTTTTCTTATGTTTACTTTGTATTTTTATTGCACGAACTGGGTTTTTATCGTGAATAACTAAATGAATCAAATCAAATCAAATAATAAGTTACACGATACGTGAGCGATACGGTACCCATATAGGGTATGATAAAGCATGTTAGCATAACCATTCCTGTACTATTGAGCTTCCTACACTTGACGCTCCGAGACTGAGGATCATTTGTGCACAGATCCTTAAAATGTTATTCTACTCTCAGCCTTCACTAATCCAAAAATTAAGTCGTCATTTTTTTGTCTCAGGTATTCACATTGACACTGAATAATCTCATAACTTACAAACAATATTATGATTGTCTCTTACTGGAATATCATCTACACATACATGTATATAAAGTTCATTCGATCTAATTAACAAACAATAACTTACTAAATGTATCAACTTGTTTTGGCTTTAAAATGTATATCACAACAAATATATCAAAGGGAACGTGACATGCTGATATAAAAATATAAAAAAGGAACCATATCCAACTTGAAGCTGTCAAATCATGAAAGATCTGATCCTGTCAAGCTCAGTTGTGGCGTCCCGCAGGGGTCAGTCGGGGGGCCGTTGCTGTTTTCCTTGTACATCACTAGGCTCAAGCAAGTTTTACAGCAGCATGATGTCAAGTATCACTGCTATGCAGATGACATCCAGATCTACGCATCGTTCCTTCCCAATCAAAATGACGCAAGTCGGACTGTCAAACTACTCGAAGCTTGCGTCAAAGATGTGCAAACTTGGATGAACTCGAACTCACTCAAACTGAATGATAGTAAAACTGAATTAATTTTATTGGGTTCCAAATCAAATCTTGCTAAGATACAGTCGTTCAATATATCCATATCGGATTCTGTAATTAGTCCTTCCTCGCAATGTCGTAACCTTGGTGTCATGTTAAACTCGTCTATGTCATTGTCAACTCATGTTTCTAGTATTTGTAAGTCAGTCAGATATCAACTGAGAAATCTAGGTTTTATTAGGAAATACTTAAGTCGTTCAACCACAGAGAAACTTGTACATGCTCTTATTTCATCACGCTTAGATTTCTGTAATTCTATTCTCTATTTGCTCCCTAACACGCAACTTTCTCGACTCCAGAAACTGCAAAATACTGCTGCACGTATTGTCACACTTTCTTCTCGTAGAACCCACATCACCCCCATTCTCAAAACTCTTCACTGGCTCCCGGTATGTGACCGAATTATTTTTAAGTTGTTGTTGCTAGTTTTCCATTCCTTGTATGACTCTGCTCCTTCCTACAATATCAAGTTGATTGTTAAGTATAAGCCTACAAGACATCTTCGTTCATCTCAATCCTCCTTATTAGTTGTCCCTAAGACGCGCAGTTCCTGGGGGGATAGAGCATTTTCTCATTCTGGTCCGTCCCTTTGGAATAAGCTGCCAGTTAGTATTCGTAATTTAACTACCCTTCATGCCTTTAAAGTTGCTCTAAAAACCCATCTCTTTCTAAACAGTGCTATCTAATCATGTCAATGTAGCGTTATAATTTGTGTTGTTTTAGTTTACTTTATTTTAGTTAAGAAGTTATATTTTTGTGATAGTAATACATGTATGTACAGCGCCATGAGCGTCAGAGCCTGGCGGATACCGGCGCTATATAAATATCCATATTATTAAATAGCAAAAACACAAATGAATACATGGAATGGTTGGATCTGGGAGAAACAGAGGTGTAAGTGGTTAAAAGGAATGAATTGAGATGGATGGGTCATGATTTGAGGAAGGAGGACGATGAGCCTGTGAAAAGAGCGTCGAATCTGGAATGGCAGGGGCGGATCCAGCCGGCGGCAGGGGAGGGGACCAAAGAGGGGGCCCAATTCGTGAGAAAATATTTAGCGGCGAAACAGCCAGCCGAATAATAAGCGGGGGGGGGGGGAGCACTAATATTTTGTTATGCCCCCCCAAAAAAAAATTGAAAGTACTACCCCCCCCCCCCCCCCTTGAACACCAGGAAAGGGGCCGGGGCCCCCCTGGATCCGCCACTTGTGGATGGCACAAGAGGCACAGGAAGAGGAAGAGTGAAGAAAGAAAGCAGTAAAGTTTGTTCCAATGCGGAGGGTGCTCGAGACAATAAGAAGAGGAAAGAAGTTCATTATGACCCCGAAAGTAAATAACCCCTTGTAAAACCACAATTATGACGATGATTGTTATGATGATGATGATGATTACGTAAGCAATTGAAAGAATGGTTTTGGTAGTTTACACACCGGAGGTTGTAGATGCTAGTCCTTTAATGTTGGAGTTGTCTGTTCTGAACACCCATCTTCCAGATACACCGATGTTCGATGTCGTTTCAATATCGACGATGGCAGCTGTTTGAGATCCAGGGACACTATAAAAGTTCACTCCGTCACCAGCGTTGTATCCAACCTAAGAGTCAAGCATGTGAACTTTGAAGCAATACTTCCTAACAAATGTAACTTGATACGGGTTCGATTCATGTTTTTGTTCGTCTAATTTCATGTCACATTGCCCTGTTCGGTGCAAAAGTCAGAGTTCGGTGACGAAAGTCAGAGTTGTTTGACATATATATTAGTTGATGAGAAACTAAATTGATAAACTTCTGACTTTAAGCTACTGCAAAGCATTTTTTCTTTGTTTGGTTTGAAAAAGACAAAACAGATTCAGCATTTTGTTTTTGTATTACCGATTTAGATCTACATTAGCTTTGATTTTCCTACTGTTCTCGTTTTAAAGGCCGGTTTACATACTAGTGGCAAAGACCCAGCGAAAGGCGACGGACGTGAAAATCACAAAATTTTGGTGGCAAAGCGATAAAAGGGGAAAACCAAGATTCGCTGATGGGGACCTTCAGCGACAACACGACGGCAAGGGACGAATGGATGCGGCAGGAAACAGAGTCTAGCGAGCAAAATCGGACGTTGTCTGGCGGCGAGTGACGATGACTCGACGCAGCACGTCAACAAGGAACGAAGTCAGACGGCTGGGAGCGGATTGGCTGACGGTAAGGAACGGCGGCTGACGGTGGGTTGCGGCGGTGCATTTTGCAGTCTGACCCTAGCTCCGTCCGCCATGATGATGAAACAGCTTTGACAAAGAACAGGTGGTCATTTTCATTTTATATGAACTTCAAAATAGCATCGTGCCGGGCAGTATATTAAAATCAAACTGACGTCACAAAAAGTGAAAAATCGTGGACCACCGTTGCAAAATCGTAACCCATCACA